TGATCTCTTTGTGGTGTATCCACGTGTTTTCTTTTACTATTTTTCTTTTCATTTGGTGACTTCACCTTATCTTGCACTGTTAGGATCATATGATCGCAGTTATTAGCAAATAAAAAAAAAAGTTATCTTAATCATTTACTCATCTTTCAAAAAAGCATACTTTGTCTAATTTTTGCACTCGAATTTACATTTTTCAAATGTCCTTCATGAGTACAAGAATAGAGATTGAAGTTTTTTTGTCATTTATTGAGATGACAATTGAAAGAAAACGCCAACAAAACTTATGTTGCATGAGATTTGTTTTTTGGCTAGCTTACACATACATGCTTCAGGATGCGATTTAAGTGTTTTTAAAAAGAGTATCATTGGATTTTCTTCATATCTCAAACTGCATAAACAACGAAATAATATCTCAGAAAACAAAATATTCTCAGTTTGAATGTAGTACACGCTTACTAAAATCATCTAACGAATATGTTTTTATTCGTAGTTGTCTCTTTGAAAGCATCTCGAGCCATTCTCTGTCAGCAATGGTTTTATTTTGAATTCTGAATTTGAAATCTCTCTTCTAATACTGTACTACATTAATAAGAAAATGATTACTGATGAGAAAGAGGGAAGTCTATGCTTCTTATAAAACGAAGACGTGTCTAGGAAAGAGTTCTTATCGTATGACACTGCTTGCGTGACTAGTGACAGCGTTTTAGTAGAGCTATTTTCAGAGTGAAACACTTCGGAAGAAAAGAATATTTACCAATAGGATTGCAGAAGCATCTCATGAGACAAAAGAAAAACAGCGTTCACGACATTTTATGCAGAAGAGTTTTTCATATACGAATTAATTCATAAGTCAGTATAAACTATAACTTTAGTTTCCGGTCATAATAACAAATAAAGCAATAAAACTCGAACAAATTTCTCTAAGTTCAAGATGGACGTCTAACGATATCGTCAAATGTGTCAAAAGTAGTAACTATGAATATAATTAGCGGACTAGAAATAGAATTCGAGGAGTAAAATATACGCTGCTATACGAAGGTGTTTAGGAAAAGTGAAAACCCTCTTATCCAAATGATAAACATTAGACCAGGCACTCTATAGAAAAGATATCATTTACAAAGCAACATGTAAGAAGATCAAATTCCTCCACAATTTTGAACAATTCAAACGAACTTTCGAAATGTTGGAAGAACATTGTTCCGAATGCATCTACGTAACTGTTCCTTTGCCCTTCGATCTATTTCTCAACATTGATCTTTTACCTCGTGGACAGAAATTGGTAGTCAGCAGCGGTAAACATACTGCTGTTGGTGAACAGCATGAGTTCACAATACACACTGAATCATTCGATGCACAGCTATATGTTACATTATTACATGGCTGTAAAACTGGACAATCAATAGCAGGAGCACAATAACTGATGTTGTTCGCTGTGCGATAGTTGAAACAAGGTGTTGGTGACAAAGAACAAGTCTGATTATTAGCTGAAGTCGTGATACATTGTTGTAAAGAACAACTTGATGTTGAATTGGATGCAGAATGAGATGCTGTCGATAGTGTAAATTCTACATTATTGTTCTGCAAGGCACACGAAGAACTCCCTAATGCAATAGTTCGATCTATGAAAAGATTTTGTCAATGAGAAAAATATAAGATGAGTTGTCAAACCTTTGAGAGAGAGAAATGAGATGGTAAGAAAAAGGAATGCGACAGACACCATGAATGAGATTATGAAGCAGACCAAGAAAAAAAATTTATTGACAGAAATCGACGATTTTTTTAATGAATGTGAATGAGAATCGAGTTATTTTTCTCTTGAAAGGCTTTTTATTCTAGAAGAAAAAAAATCATCTGTGGAAGTGCGTTGTTTACTTTGCTGTTGCCATTTAACAGTCATAGTCAAATTTACACCATTTTAGACAAAGTCATGAATATGAGAATCAATATTTGTCACAAAAGAAAAGACATGAAAATTCTTCTATAATAGTTTATTTTATCGTGATATATTCCTCAAATCAATATACAGTCCAATTTATTATATGAAAAGTAGTTTTTCATGCATAGTAAATTCTCCTTTTTTCAATTTCAACACCTGTGCAACTAACTGCACTGAATTAAAGTCTGCCGATCAAAAGTATACGAGTCTCGAAAACAGAATGATGTTGATCCATTGTTCTTGTGTGGACTGATCTCCTGACAAGATAACATGGACAAGTATGATGCTCTTATACCTTGATTTCCTCTGATCATCGTCCATTTGTAACGAATGTTCGATATGCAGCACGAGTGTTTAGAAAAATTCGATCAGATGATTGATGAATTTTGCAGAGAGTTCGAATCATCCAGATGAATTGGTTGACAGGTTTGGTTATAAACATGATTGGAGTAATGAGAAGCGTTTGAATCCCGGCAAAGATGATACTTAACACAATACTAACGAGATGGTCTCCAAATATGATATAATCATACACTTTAGAGTGTTTCACACGATGGCAGTCTTCTCGACGTGGATATTTCGTGACAATAGTGAATCGACTGACATTCCAATCGAACAAATAACGAAAGCTAATCGTGACAATTTTTTTCCTTTGCAACTGATGGATATTTGATCAACAGATGATGTACATTAAGTTAGTACGGAAGAACCTGAGGGTGAGTGTGTGCATATAAGAGTGTTCTTTAATAGAAGATGCAAACGCATAGACGCGAGCTTGGGACTAACACCTCCTTTTTAGCGAGAGTGTGAACATGTTTGAGTCTTCATGGAAGTTTTTAGTAACTACATGATATAGAAAGCATTCTGCTGCGTGTACATAAGACATCTAAACTCTGTTTTTTTTTGTAAAGAGAATATTCGATCGTTTAGAATTGCCACAACAACAACACAAATCCATTATAATTGCCGGCTGTTTGATTTTTCTTTCTCTTGGCAAAACTCACGTGGTTCGCTTATTATTCGATTTCGAAAAAAAGTACGATTTTACATACGTGGATGAAATATTCCGATCAAAGTATAAACATCAACCTGCTTCTACAATTGTACCGAACAAGTCATGTTCCGACTTATGTATTCAGGCAGGTTTTCTCTATCGTCATTAGATTGGACTATTATTTTTTTCGTTTAATTGAAATTAGTTGTGTTATACACATTCATCAGCATCTATTTATTCAACGCTACAGATATCCGAGAAAGTGCTTTTCGAAACACCAAAGTTGGGCTACGTATATTGATCGAATACCTAGCAACTATTCAAAAGACATATTTCAACGATGAATCCATTGAAAACAAGCCGCCGAAAGAAGAAATCCCAGCAGTGCCGGCGAATAAGACCACACATAGCAGTGAATATAAATGTAGCGATCATCCATATACAATCCGGATCGTTCATCGTACACCGTTGATTGTCTATATTGAAAAATTTCTCATTCCGTATGAGATTCATCACTTAATTAAATTAGCCAAACCATTATTTCGACAATCAACAATATACGATAATAGTGGAAAACTGATTCATAACGATTACCGAACATCATGGACAGCTGATATCGAACGTCACGAAACACCGGTGGTGAAATGTATCGAAGAGCGATTTGCTCGATTTCAAGGTAATCTAGATCTTGAATACCTCGAACCATTACAAGTAGTCAAATATACATCTGAGCAAGAGGTTTGTACGTTTTTCACCTTCGTTCATTCTTCATGAATTTCATTTCTATAGTTCAAACCACACTACGATTGGTTTCCCACTGATGATTTAGTACAGAGTAGTGGTCAAAGACTAACAACCTTCTTCACCTATCTTTATTCGAATTGCTCACGAGGCGAAACTGAATTTCTCAAGATTCCATTTCACAAATCTACCCATGCAAAATCTTGTGATATTTTGGTTTGTGATGAGAAATCTATCAAATCGGGCCTTCGATTTCGTCCAATATCTGGAAATAGTATTTTTTGGTACAATGTAGATGAACAAGGAAAAGGTGATGCTTCAACATATCATGCTGGTAGACCACCGAAAGACGGCGGTCTGAAAATTGGATTGAACACCTGGACACGTTCAAAGAAAATAACGCCAAAAAAACGAAAGGATGTTACGTAACGTCTCATGAATGTATATTTGACTGCGAGAAGCGTTATGATTTGGTCTTTACCAGACAAAAAGATGCTGTTGAACTGTTCGAAGAAAACGCCCTAAATAAATGAAACGTTTCAGAAGAATTCTACAGACAAAGCATGAACATACGGCGGAGTATCTATAAGCGATAAGACCAGTAACTACATTCTGCATTCTTGATCACGTTTGTTGTGATTAAAATATGAGCACTATGAATAATGAAACTAGCAATGACTAACATAATTTGCAGAATAATTGTTTTCGCTAATTGACGATCAAAATTATGATCCAAGAATGTATCACGATTTACACTATAGATAGAGGACGTACGAGTATAATCAATTCCATAACCTATAGAATGTAGAAGGATTAGTGCGATAAGTTTGAACACTAGAGAGTATGGAGATGTTGAGAAGGTTCCTGACTAGACCTGGAGCGAAAAGAAAAAAGCCGAAATAAATGGTGTTTAGTTCGCCAATGTCGAATGAAGACATTGAGATTCGTGGCTGGTAAGATCCGGAAACGTTAAAAGTTTTAAGATATGATGCGATACGAATAGGAGAATGCAGCACATCGAGTAAATTAGAGTAAAACATAAGTTATTCTCATAATTACAAGAATAATATGAAAGAGAAAATACACGAACAGTCAGCAATCTTGAAAGGGTAAAGCACGTTATGACTCTTTCTCGACGCGTGTTTTCTATGCCTGTTTGGCGATAAAGGGTTAAATATGAAATTCTATGAAGGTAGAAGAGAACTTTATTGAATCCATGAGAAATGTTTCATCGTGATTAAGATCAGTGTTCATTTTTTTTAAATCTATGATTAAATAGATCAAAATCCTCGACCAAAGATCGATTCGTAGTGATCAGCAGGAAGATCATTGCCTTGAGAAATGTCACTCCAGAATCGAAGCACTTTCTTCACATAAGTTCGATCACCCGTGCCAGCTGGTAATGCACTCAAGTCATTTTTGTCAATACCATTCGGCCCGGAATTATAAGCGCGAAGAGTTATACCCCAATCACGATCGGCTACTGTGTCATACATGTCTTTCAGATAACTTGCACCTAACATGACATTTTTAGCAGGACCATGTAGGTTTCGAAAGCGATCAGCATATTTTCTTTCCAATTCATCTGCTGTAAATTGATTGACCTGCATAAGACCTGAATCACCGCCACCGTTCGGATTCCATGTTGAATCAACATTGACGTTTCCACTGGATTCTTGATAAATAACAGCACCGATTAGATAAGCTGGTACACCTGTTGCTTGCGATGCTGCATTGACCATGTCACGTAATCGTCCTAGCCAATTGGGTATTTTCCAATTTAATGTTGTATCCATCCGTCCACCAGAAGATGATCTCTCAGCACTGGCATTTCCCGCTCCCGGAAGACGTATCTGTTGACCAATTTGAAGTTGCTCTGGAGCGACACCGGGATTAGCATTCATGACAGCATCAAGACTCAACCCATATCTTTGTGAAATTCCCCAGAAGGTATCACCAGGCTGGATAGTATAACTGGACATGTTTCAATATACGCGTGACTATCTGAAAAGAAAGAAAAAAAAGTAGACAAAAAACGCACACGATAGAGTTATTGTGGAACTAAATCAAAAATCTCCCAGGCGTCAACATTTGTGCGATTGGCAGTTAAAGCACCTCTGCCATAGTCTACTGCGCAAACGTATTTGCCGTTAACGGCGATGAACGCTACTTTGTTTTCACCACGATAAATCATTTGAAACGTTTCCCATACATCGATTCCATTGCGGTTAACAATCAAAGGTTTTTTCCTGCAGCTTCTGCAGACACATATTTTCCATTTGCATATGATCGTAGAGCAACTTTGTTTCCATCGAGAGTAATAAGATCAGATTTCTCCCAACCACCGACAGCATCTCGACTGGCTAGCAGTGGACCATTGGCATTGGATCGAAGTGCAATCACTCGCTGAGCAGCAGGTGCACTTTGAGTCCCAACATTTTCACTCTCAACCTTATAGAACCGAACCCATTCAATTTCCATTCGTTTTGGAAAAACACTTTCGTCAATTCCATGTTGTCCTCCCCTATGTAACAGGTACACTCAATATATCATAAAAGACGAAGAAAGGACTTTTGCCATGTACCACCAATGGCGATATTGAGAATAATGAAAAAGTCGTTGTCGAAAGGCCTAGCGAACACAGTATAATTTCATTGGTTTACGAAGTTGAAATCTTACCATCTTTCCCAACCTTGATTCCCTTTATCCCATACGAGAATTCGCTGTTCAAATGGCTGATTATCATCACCAACGAACATTTCAAGTTGGTCAGAAGTCCAATTCAGAGTATAAATTTTGAAGTTTGAGCAAGCATCCGGCACATCTACACCATGGGTGGGTTGTGTATTTTTCATATGATTATATTCCGCTGTATGTACACTCGACACAATCTTATTTGGATCGTAGCCGACCTGTTCCATTACATCGATTTCTCCATTATCGGACCAACATGCGTTGCCATAGATTTTTTGTTCGAGATAGCTAAACGAATGGTATTGCAAAAAGAGAAACAATTCGCAGAAGAAACTACTCACCATCCATATCGCTGGCTAGAGACCTCTACCGAATGGTAGTTTCGCTTTCACTTGAAGTCGACCATAAGTCCAGGACATTTTTTTATTTCAGTCGAGCTGATGTGAATTGTTGGCCTTGATAATCTTCACAGTGTGCTTCGATGATCAATCTTTGATTTTCACATCGGGCATTTTCAGTTCGATCGGTGTAGAATTGTACTTCTTGATTACCTGGAGATTTCGAAAACTTCATCAATAAACATTAAAAAATGTTGAGTGTCATACCCCAGCCGTTATCTCCAGTGCCGATGTCAAAATCCAATCTATTTCGATCGACAGGACCATCGTCTGAGAATTGGTCTTCCCAAACGAGCCGATATTGATTGCTAGCCATGGTTCTGTAAGTTCAATAAATGAATAAATATACTTCTAATATTCGCCCAGAGCTAACACAACATTCAAATATGTATACGCCCTGTTTTATTAGTTTTATCGAGCAAAAGAGAAATGATTGAGTAGATGTCATAACACTTGACGTCAACAGAATCGTGTCTTTATTCCTTATGTTTTAATTTTTCCACTAACAAACAAGCCTCTCTGCTCGATAACTTCAACACATCTATATTGACTCGATATAAATAAGGCAGTCAAGAAAGTTATGCTCTGTATTTATCCCAGTGTTGACTTCGATGGACGTTGTTAACAGTTAACGAAATAAGAACAAAGCTGATCTCATACCGAAATAATATAAAGGATAAGGATGAAATTCAAATATTTGCTTGGTTGGGTCTATGAACAAATTCGTGACTACAATCTATTCGCTCCAGAGACAGATGATGACAACAACGATGAGAATAAACTGGAAGAATCTGGAACTGCTCTTCGAAAGCAAAAATATACAACTCGGTTGTATGTTCCGCTTGTCATCGGTAAGGAAGATTATCAACATATTCGGACATGTTCACGCGGCTTGTTCATAAAACTAATCTCGTATTTCTTTCAGTGTCTCTTTACGTCATATTCTACATATCTTTGTTCCAGCCACACCCTCGAGAGATCATCATACAAGACGTCACCCGTGATGTCTTTCATCAACTACAGCACAAATACACAGAAACTCTTTCATGTCCATGTCGAGAATTGAAAATACCGTACAGCGCTTTTGTGTCGACGGTGGTGACATTACATCCGATTTGTTCGAGTGTTTTTGTGAGTGATGAATGGATTGAAGCATTTTACCTTGCTAATGCAAGTGAATATTACTCGGGTGATTTTGCCAATTCTGCCTATTCTCAGGTAACGAAGACGTGTGAATCTTGAGTAGTTGAAACTTACTACGCACGTGACTTTATTTGTATTTAGCACAAAATCTTGGCGAGTCTGTGTAGATTGTGTAATAATATATTGAAACAAACTGAATTGGATCTCCGCAATGAAGACTTCATTGCAATTGAACTTTCGTCCGAAGAGCGAATTAAATCGGAAATAGCTTCTGTTGTTGGAGGCTTTCGCAGTAGTGCAACGACTCAAATCACTTCGTACATCGACTATATTAGAACTGTAACTCAATCAAACCGTTTTATCTCAAGATTAAACGCAAATATGGTCATTCTTGGTGAAAAAGTGAATTCACCGCTGAAAGATTCGTACGTTTTTCATGGATATTGGTCTTCAATTGGCGATCCATTTAGTTCAGGTGTCATGCCTGACAATTTTGTCTGTGACAAAGGATATAAACCCGTATCATATGATATATTTGTATATAGCAAGAACATATCTTTGGTGAGTGTTGATTTTTCACACAACAGTAATAACTTCATATGTAACAACATCTGTCGAATAACTACTGTGAAATGCCCGTTCATAATCGTGTCCAATTCATAGGTTAAGTAAGATATAAGATGCCGTTAAACAGTTAGACGTACCATAGTTTTACTCAGAAGCAAAAGGTCAGTAGCAAGTGAATAATAGCTGTGTAACAACTGTTATCGCGAACGTAGTATATCTCGAAAATGTGCTGTTGGTTTTGATTGATCATTGCGTTGTAGATACTTATTCTAATTTCATTTCCTCACTTAAGACTCGTTAGAGAATATCATTTAACAGTTTGCTTTTTGTAATAGAGAAAATCAGCGAAAGGATTTGCCCAAGGATGCTATCCTCTCGAAGGACTACTCGCAAACAATCTCGAGTGTTTCTCTGATATCAACTGTCTGAATATGCTTACGAATCATTTTTCGATTCCTGAAAAGGTACGTACAATCATGCTTGTCATTATCTATTCTTCTACTAAATTCCGTTGGATTAGATGCGCACCAAGTTGTCTCAGCTTGTCATACCTAAAAACGAAGAAAACAAAACAGTCTATGACCATCTGCGCACACTTTTCATCAACACATCGTCAACAAATATAGACTATTCGATTTATTTCGACACATGTGCAGCATCTCATTGTGCATATACTATAACAAAGCAAACTGCGTTTGCTAGTGCCGTGACGATTTTAATTGGTCTATATGGTGGTCTTATTGCTATCTGCCGACTTTTGGTACCGTGTATAATCAATGTTCTCATGAAATGCAAACATCGATCAAGAAGCAATGGAATTATCAATATCGGTACTATTTCGAACGATAGAAAAAAAAATGTCGATCTAAGAGCAGCTTTCCTTTTCCTCGACTTTGCAAATTCCGGAACTGAGTCGCGTTCGAAGAGAAATAAGTGCGCAACACTAGAGGATATTATTTCACCCGTAACAACGGTTTTGAAATGAGGTGAAACGACTATCGCAAAAAGCTCGAAATCGAGAAAACTAACTTCCACAATGTGCAGAATTGAGAAATGAGATGTATTATGCTATTTAATCGTACGTTCGAAAGAATTTTTTTTTAGTGCACCCAATGACATGTCTTAAAAATTGTGTTCAACGGTTGGCAAGACTAAATTTATTCAAGACGAATACTGATCGAACGGAAGATAATATAAAACGAGAACTGATCAGCACACGTGTTTATTTAATATTATTTCCAAGTATGTTTTCACTTTGTTTCGCGAAATTTTGCAAAAGCATCAAAGAAAAATACTCGTCTATGTGCTATTCGTTCAATTTCTGAAAACCCTATCATTCCTATATGTCCCAAAAAGATACAAAGGTATCGATTCTGAATATATACATTCTAACCTTAGCTCTCATCTACGTCTTGGGGATTTTTTTTGTTCTGTTTTTATTTTAGGTGTATTTACAATAATTATCTTATTCATTTCATTCAACACTCAAACAGTGACACAGGTTGTGCTAAATCCCACTTTGAACGAGTACAAACATCTCAAAACATTGTATGCGAACAAGCTGACATGTCCATGCTCTTCAATCGTCATATCTTACGATAAATTCATCAAACTATCAAAAACTGTCCATTCGATATGTTCGAGTGATTTGGTCAGCGAGTATTGGATTTCAGTTTTGAGCAAAATTATACCAAACTCACAACCACCGAAGGATTGGAGTAGTTTTATCCACATACAATTTCAACTCTTATCCGATTTATGCGACTTAGCTAACAAAACAATTGAGAATGCTATGGGCAGTTTTCTCAATCAAGTCTTTATTACGTCAAATGTTATCCACACGAGTGAATTTACTGAACGATTCAATTCAACCCTTACAGAATTCTTTCATTCAACGATTATTGATTTCACACAACTTGTGAGAACAGTTCGTTTAGTTATTCAAGCTGATCAACCTTTTTCTCCTGTGGAGCTAGATATATACAGAAATACACTAGAACTGATTGCAAACGAAGTAGCGTCCGAAGCAAATAATGGATCCTCAGTGATGGTATGTGTTAGGAATTACATATTCGAGTATATGTTAAACTAAATTTTATATTTCTAGATTCGATTCGTTCCCAGAACGCTGTCCAATGCAAGTACCGATTCTGCGAAATGCTTTTGTGCAGCCGATCAATATTGTCATACGTTCTTCCCAACTTATCTCGATATATGGCTGTACGAAAAAGATTTCGAACCGTATTCTAATGAACTACCGGGCGCAACACTCGGCTGTTATTTTATTGATTCTACTCTATTCTCAACACTCGATTGCTTTTACCTACATTCGCCCTGTTTTAAACTTATCAGACACTTGTTAAGGAGTAAGTATGTCACTTCAAGTTCGAAACCATGGAACGATATTCCGCCACTGATTTACGATGCGAAATTCAGTCGTTTTCCATCAAATACTCCAATATCATTTCTAGTCGAAAACGCGATGATTGAAAGATGGAATTCATCCGTCATATACGAACAATATTTTGACACATGTGCACCGAAATATTGTACTTATTCAATTGAAATCCTTGCCAAGACTTTTACCGAAGTGCTGACTGTAGCGGTATCTATGCTTAGTGGAATTTCTGTTATATTACGATATGTCACAATCTATTTGGTGAAATTCGTTTTCTACATAGCAACTTGCAAGCTGAAAAGACAGCGGAAAACACCTTCACAACGAATACGAGGTAATTGAAAGTATATTTGTCCTTTTGTGTTTTGCGCAATGGAAAGAAAGATTCGTGAATAACTGGGATTATCATATTTTTATATCTCTTTATAGTCCGCACAAAATTCTTCGCTAAAGTTCAAATGATAATGAAAAGACTATCTTCAAGTTTCTATGAGCTATTGTTGAATTTTAACATATTTCCTCAACGAGAATTTGGAACAAATAAAGATCGAACGACTGTGAAACATCTTGGTCTATGGAGTACTCGTCTCTATATTCTTCTATACAGCGGTGCACTTATTATTATTACTTTATACGGAGTAAGTGTACCTAGGGCGATAACGAAAACTTTTAACAAGCCAACATTCATTGAATACAATGAGTTCTCCCAGAAATATGCCGATAAATTAGTTTGCATTTGTTCATCAATTGCTTCGACGTATAAACAATTTACAACAGTTCAACCGATATTCCATCAAGTAAGAAACACCTTAAAATTGTTCTTCTTTCGGTATTTCCTGAGAAAANTTTGGATCGTAGCCGACCTGTTCCATTACATCGATTTCTCCATTATCGGGCCAATATGCGTTGCCATAGATTTTTGTTCGAGGTAGCTAAACGAATGGTATTACAAAAAGAGAAGCAATTCTCAGAACAAACAACTCACCATCCATATCGCTGGCCAGAGACCTCTACCCAATGGTAGTTTCGCTTTCACCTGAAGTCGACCATAAGTCCAGGACATTTTTGACTTCAGTCGAGCTGATGTAAATCGTTAGCCTTGATAATCTTCGCAGTGTGCTTCGATGATCAATCGTTGATTTTCAGTTCGATCGGTGTAGCATTGTGCTTCTTGATTACCTGGAGATTTCGAAAACTTCATCAATAAACATTAAAAAATGTTGAGTGTCATTTACCTCAGCCGTTATCTCCAGTGTCGATGTCAAAATCCCATCTATTTCGATCGACAGGACCATCATCTGAGAATTGGTCTTCCCAAACGAGCCGATATTGATTGCTAGCTATGGTTCTGTAAGTTCAATAAATGAATAAATATACTTCTAATATTCGCTCAGAGCTAACACAACATTCAAATATGTATACGCGCTGTTTTATTAGTTTTATTGAGCAAAAGAGAAATGATTGAGTAGATGTCATAACACTTGACGTCAACAGAATCGTGTCTTTATTCCTTATGTTTTAATTTTTCCACTAACAAACAACTCTCTCTGCTCGATAAGTTCAACACATCTATATTGACTCGATATAAGTAAGGCAGTCAAGAAAGTTATGCTCTGTATTTATCCCAGTGTTGACTTCGATGGACGTTGTTAACAGTAACTGAAATAAGAACAAAGCTGATCTCATACCGAAATAATATCAAGGATGAATTTCAAATATTTGCTTCGATGGGTCTATGAGCAAATTCGTGACTATAATCTATTCGCTCCAGAAACCGATGATGACAACAACGATGAGAACAAACTGGAAGAATCTGGAACTGCTCTTCGAAATCAAAAATATACAACTCGATTGTATGTTCCACTTGTCATCGGTAAGGAAGAATGTCAACATATTCGAACATGTTCACACGCTAGTTCATAAAACTAATCTTGTATTTCTTTCAGTGTCTCTTTACATCATATTTTACATATCTTTATTACAACCACATCCTCGAGAGATCATTATACTAGATGTCACTCCTAATGTTTTTGATCAACTGCAACATAAATACATCAAAACTCTTTCATGTCCATGTCGAGAAGTGAAAATACCCTACAAAGCTTTTGTGTCGACGATGATGACATTGCATCCAATTTGTTCGAGTGTTTTTGTGAGTGATGAATGGATTGAAGCATTTTACCTTGCTAATGCAAGCGAATATTTCTTGGGTGATTTTGCCAATTCTGCCTATTCTCAGGTAAGGAAAACGTGTGAATCTTGAGTAGTTGAAACTTACTACGCACATCATTGGCACGTGACTTTGTTTGTATTTAGCACAAAATCTTGGCGAGTCTGTGTACATTGTGTAATAATATATTGAAACAAACTGAATTGAATCTCCGCAACGAAGACTTCATTGCAATTGAACTTTCATCCGAAGAGCGACTTAAATCGGAAATAACTTCTGTTGTTGGAGGCTTTCGCAGTAGTGCAACGACTCAAATCACTTCGTACATCGACTATATTAGAACTGTAACTCAAGCAAACCGTTTTATCTCAAGATTAAACACAAATATGGTAATTCTTGGTGAAAAAGTGAATTCATCGCTGAAAGGCTCGTACGTTTTTCATGGATTTTGGTCTTCACTTGGCGATCCATTTAATTCAGCTAACATGCCTGAGAATTTTGTCTGTGACAAAGGATATAAACCCGTATCATATGATATATTTGTAAATATCAGGAAAATATCTTTGGTGAGTGTTGATTTTTCACACAACAGTAATAACTTCATATGTAACAACATCTGTCGAACAACTATTGTGAAATGCACGTTCATAACCGTGCCCAATTCATAGGTTAAGTAAGATATAAGATGCCGTTAAACAGTTAGACGTACCGTCGTTTTACTCAGAAGCAAAAGGTCAGTAGCAAGTGAACAATAGCTGTGTAACAACTGTTATCGCGAACGTGGTATATCTCGAAAATTTGCTGTTGGTTTTGATTGATCATCGAATTGTAGATACTTATTCTAATTTCATTTCCTCACTTAAGACTCGTTAGAGAATATCATTTAACAGTTTGCTTTTTGTAATAGAGAAAATCAGTGAAAGGATTTGCTCAAGGATGCTATCCTCTCGAAGGACTCCTCGCAAACAATCTCGAGTGTTTCTCTGATATCAACTGTCTGAATATGCTTACGAATCATTTTTCGATTCCTGAAAAGGTACGTACAATCATGCTTGTCATCATCTATTCTTCTACTAAATTCCGTTGGATTAGATGCGCACCAAGTTGTCTCAGTTTCTCATACCCAAAAACGAAGAAAACAACACGATCTATGACCATCTGCGCACACTTTTCGTCAACAAATGGTCAACAAATATAGACTATTCGATTTATTTCGACACATGTGCAGCATCCCACTGTGCATATACTATAACAAAGCAAACTGAGTTTGCTAGTGCCGTGACGATTTTAATTGGTCTTTATGGTGGTCTTATTGCTATCTGCCGACTTGTAGTACCATGGATAATCAATGTTCTCATGAAATTCAAACATCGATCAAGAAGCAATGGAATTATTAATTTCGGTATTATTTCAAACGATGGAAAAAAACTGTTTATCTAAGAACAGCTATCCTTTTCCTCGATTTTGCGAATTCCGGAACTCAGTCGCGTTCGAAGAGAAATAGGTCCGCAGAGCTATAGGATATGATTTCACCCGTAACAACGGTTTTGAAATGAAGTAAAACGACCATCGAAAAAAGCTCGAAATCGAGAAAACTAACTTCCACAATGTGCAAAATTGAGGAATGGGATGTATTATGCTATTTAATCATACGTTCGAAAGAATTTTTTTTAGTGCACCCAATGACATATCTTAAAAATTGTGTTCAACGGTTGGCAAGACTAAATTTATTCAAGACGAATACTGATCGAATGGAAGATAATATAAAACGAGAACTGATCAGCACGCGTGTTTATTTAATATTATTTCCAAGTATGTTTCACTTCGCTTTACGAAATTTTGCAAAAGCATCAAAGAAAAATACTCGTCTATGTGCTATTCGTTCAATTTCTGAAAACCCTATCATTCCCATATGTTCCAAAAAGATACGAAGGTATCGCTGCTGAATATATACATTCTAACCTTAGCTCTCATCTACGTCTTGGGGATTTGTTTTTGTTCTGTATTTATTTTACGTGTATTTACAATAATTATCTTATTCATTTCATTCAACACTCAAACAGTGACACAGGTTGTGCTAAATCCCACTTTGAACGAGTACAAATATCTCAAAACATTGTATGCGAACAAGCTGACATGTCCATGCTCTTCAATCGTCATATCTTACGATAAATTCATCAAACTATCAAAAACTGTCCATTCGATATGTTCGAGTGATTTGGTCAGCGAGTATTGGATTTCAGTTTTGAGCAAAATTATACCAAACTCACAACTACCGAAGGATTGGCGTAGTTTTGTCCACATACAATTTCAACTCTTATCCGATTTATGCGACTTAGCTAACAAAACAATTGATAATGCTATGGACAGTTTTCTCAATCAAGTCTTTATTACGTCAAATGTTGTCCACATGAGTGAATTTACTGAACGATTCAATTCAACCCTTACAGAATTCTTTCATTCAACGATTGTTGATTTCACACAACTTGTGAAAACAATTCGTATAGTTATTCAAACTGATCAACCTTTTTCTCCTGTGGAGCTAGGAGTATACAGAAATGCACTAGAGCTGATTGCAAACGAAGTAGAGTCCGAAGCAAATAATAAACCCTCAGTGAAGGTATGTGTTACGAATTATATGTTCGAGTCTATGTTAAACTAAATTTGATATTTCTAGATTCGATTCGTTCCCAGAACGCTGTCCAATGCAAGTACCGATTCTGCGAAATGTTTTTGTGCAGCCGATCAATATTGTCATACATCCTTTCCAACTTATTCCGATATATGGCTGAACGAAAAAGATTTCGAACCATATTCTAATGAACTACCGGGCGCAACACTTGGCTGTTATTTTATCGATTCTACTCTATTCTCAACACTCGAATGCTTTTACCTACGTTCACCCTGTTTTAAATTTATAAAACAAGTGTTAAGTAGTGAGTACGCCAGTTCGATTTTGAAACCATGGAGCGATGTTCGGCCACTCATTTACGATGCAAAATTCAGTCGTTTTCCACCGAATACTCCAATATCGTTTCTAGTCGAAAAGGCGATGATTGAAAGCTGGAATTCATCCATCATATACGAACAATATTTTGACGCATGTGCACCGAAATACTGTACTTATTCGATTGAAATCCTTGCCAAGACTTTTACCGAAGTGTTGATTATAGCGGTATCTATGCTTAGTGGAATTTCTGTTATATTACGATATATCACAAGCTATTTGGTGAAATTCATTTTCTACATAGCAATTTGCAAACTGAAAAGGCACCGGAAAACACCTTCACAACGAATACGAGGTAATTCAAAGTATATTTGTTCTTTTGTGTTTTGCGCAATGGAAAGAAAGATTCGTGAATAACTGGGATTATCATATTCTTATATCTCTTTATAGTACACACAAAATTCTTTGCTCAAGTTCAAATGATAATGAAAAGATTATCTTCAAGTTTCTATGAGCTATTGTTGAATTTTAACATATTTCCTCAACGAGAATTTGGAACAAATAAAGATCGAACGACTGTGAAACATCTTGGTCTATGAAGTACTCGTCTCTACATTCTTCTATACAGCGGTGCACTTATTATTATTACTTTATACGGAGTAAGTGTACCTAGGGCAATAACGAAAACTTTTAACAAGCCAACATTCATTGAATACAATGAGTTCTCCCAGAAATATGCCGATAAATTAGTTTGCATTTGTTCATCAATTGCTTCGACGTATAAACAATTTACAACAGTTCAACCGATATTCCATCAAGTAAGAAACACCTTAAAACTGTTCTTCTTTCGGTATCTCCTGAGAAAATTCTAGATCTGTTCAAGTGAATTTATATCTGAAAGATGGCGACATCATTTAACGTACAATATCATTTCAAATCTATCTAGATATGATATAAAAGATTATCGTCGTTTCCTTTCGGCTCATCTCCAGTTCCTTGAAGGATTATGTGAATTGTTTAGTCAATCAGTTGCGACATATGTGAATCAAGTTCTCGATTCATTTCTGATTACGACTCGACTTTTATCAGAGACTGATTTTGAACTGCGGGTCAATTCCAATATCGAACGAATCAAATCAAGTTCTCCAAACAAAATATCTCAAATCCTTTATTTACTTCGACATTTGAATCACGAAAATGGTCTTATCTCAACTTATGGAACGAACTACCATTATGTTTCTCCCAGAAACATGACTGCATCGTTTGTCCCCACCGGCAGCATCGTTTACGATGGATGCGCCTGTGACAAGCAACACAATTGCACAAGTCAAGCAAAGTTCATCGACATAAACTCTTCTGAGACAATCTCAATCAAAGGTTTGAAAGTCGGTTGTACACCAAGTGAATCATTGTTTGCATCGACTCTTGAATGCTTTTATGATCCATCGTGTATAGAACTATTTGAGAAATATACGAATTCGACGAAGAGTGTTCATCTTTCTAGCAGAAACATGAAGCAGCTCTCTCTCAACACGACTGTTCAGCAACTCGTCGACAAACTGTTTATCGAAGATTGGAATAAAACGACGAACTATTCGTCGTACTATGAAGCATGTTCGCCATCGTCTTGTTCATACACTTACATACAAAAATTCAATCCATTCCATGCATTGACACTTGCTATTGGTTTCCAAGGTGGAATGAGTATTATTTTGCGATGGATTTGTCCGAAGTTAGTTCGAATAATCTTCAGAATCTATAAGCATCGAAAAAGACAACAAAATATTGTTCAACCCATCAGTGCGACACAGAACACATCAACTGACGGTATTCCGTGTCATCTCGAAATGAGGTACGTTCACTTTTCCGGTCAGAGTTCCACATACGACTTCTTTTTCCTTTGTAGAGCGAATTCTTCATCAATCATTCAACGTCCATGGAAAACGATTTTCATTTGGATATTAGTAACTGCAATAATCATCGTAGCTCTAATTGTATTTTCTATTCTTTTCGCTAAATTTCAACTGACAGCGGAAACAACAAGCACAAGTATGAATTTTCAATATACTAAATTTTTTCGACGTTCATCAACTTAACATAAAAGATTCGACTTGTTCTTTCAGCAATCTCGACAAGTTCAACCATCACAATACCAAATAACATGACAAGACCAAACTCTACTCGAAGTCAGCTCATTCATTATGTCGTTTTTTTCAGTGTTTCTGTCATTTATTTGTTCATAGATTGTCAGTTTAAGTTTCAGTTGAAACTGCTATACACAGGGATTATCGCATATCTTTCTGCGAAGGGCATGGCTGCTGATTTCAACGGCGATCTACGAGATGAAATTGTTCTTTTTTCTTCTTCCTTGAATGAAATACTGATAATTTCACCACATCGTGACGAAGATTTTCAAATACGAACCGTGTCGCTGGAGGATTCTGTGACACACTTACTCATCGCCGATTTTAACAATGATAATTATCTTGATTTAGTCACAGTTGACTTTATCTATCGTATCCATATTCATTTGGGAAAGAGCGACTATACATTTCAATCGCCGATTACTACAACTTCGACCGATCATCAGACATTATTTAGGCAGTTAAATAGCGGAGATCTTAATCATGATGGCTTTTTAGATATTGTTCTAGTTTTAAACACTTCTAATAAGCTATGTGTATTATTAGGACATGGTAATGGAAGTTTCAGTCAACAATATGATATCGATATACCTTCAGAACTGGCAGCAATAATGTGGTCTATCTATATCAAGGATTGCAATAACGATAGTTATCTGGATATAATCGTTGCTTACGAGAACGGTCGCAGTATATATGTATATTTTGGACATGACTCTGGCATATTTGAAATGAAGAGAATTTATAAATCATTCGATTATATTATGGTACGGTCTTCGTTAATAGTGGATGATCTTAATAATGATGGCCAACTAGATTTTCTTATATTCTATATGAATTGCGACAGCTTTACGATAATATATGAGATCGATTACGAAAGATTGGATTTCGTAGTTGAGCACGCAATAGATCTTGGTATTACCGTGGAAAGTCCTTATGTCATTGCGACTGATCTAGACGGAGATCGAAATACAGATATTGTCGTACTCGATGGCAGCGCAAAAAGTCTTTTCGTATTTTTGGGTGATGGCAATGGAAACTTTAAAAGAAAAGCAAATTTTACTAGTGAAGTTTTTACACATTATATGAATGACCATATTTATTTTGTTGCGAATAATTTCAGTAGATATAAGCAGAAAGACATTGTATTGTACAACATGGTCAATGGAACGATCGATGCGCTTTTAACTGAAAATCAATGTTGAATTTCTCACATTTAAAAGAAAGTAACTTTCATGATCAAAACTATTTGATTTTTTTAATCTCTATATATTCTTCTGAATCGTCCCATTATTTATATTGTGAGTTTGTTCTTCATCGCTTCATGTCAATTTATTGCATTCCTCGTAATCTTTTGCTTTAAAATAAACTACAACTATAAGAATTTGATCTGAAAGTTTGTTGTGTTCATATTAGCCATAAATACTAAAACAGTTGTGAAAGTAAGACGCCAATCGCCTACGTTTTTCGTTCTATATCAACGGCAACCTTTTAAAAGTCATTCTGGGATACGACGGGTGTAAACAAAGATCGAGAAAGATTTCGATGATAAGAGTAAAATCCATGCTCGCCTGAAAGACCGTTCGTTACACACCCGTAGAACACAATAGTTTACGGTTTGTTTTATTTTCTGTTTCGCTCTAATCTTTATGGAACCAATCATTCGTCTGATATTTAATATTTATTTTTTCCCGGATGTCAAAAAAAAGACAACAGCAAGCATTTGCATTGTCAGTTCGTCATCATATATATGATATTATTAGAAGCCAGTAGACCAATACTGGTGTGTTTATGTCGGAAGAATGGCTTTCGATTTGTCGGTATGGCACAATTCAAAGCGCTGCAAGCATTTTGCTAGATGACCAATCGAATGATTTCCGACACTTTATTTCAGATCTGCTCCGATTAATATATCAGTCCCAGTGTCACGACGTCGAGCTTATTCGAAGTGTAAATTACAACGTCTGTCAAACAATTTCTGGATTCATCCAAAGCAAACTTGTTTCTTTTAGTGGAGGGCATACAAGACAATACAATAGATTGTGTGTTATATTCTGGCCAGAGAATAAATTACTATACAGATATGCCAGACATTCAATGGTATGTGCTAACGAAACACCTACGTATTGCCCCACTCGGTATTTTTTGTCAACTCCACTGTTTCACAACTTCTCGATGAACTGATGAAAGAAGAGTGCAATCTGTCGACGCAATATAAGAATTGATGTGATCAATGTCAGCCAATCCAATGTACATACATTTACAACACGAAGGACACTCCCATGTATACGATAACGAGTAGTGTGGAGATCGTTAACTCAATCCGAGTATTAAACTACTTCTCCGAGTTCTGAACTTATAAGTTGCAAAGTTTACTGCTTGAATTGTCTCTTCGAATTATATATGTCTGCAAATTAAAATGATATTTCCGTATGGATGACGAATGGTGAAAAAACGGCCTATTTTTGTCGTTAACGATGTTTTTCCTCTTGCAAACCTTGATATGTATAGGTCATCATACCCTTACTCAGTCAGCAACGAAAAAAAAATATTTCTTTCTTTTTTTAATTTTATTGATTAATGATTCACCGTTAGAATAGTAGAAAAATTATTTCATGTCTAATTAAGAGAGAGCTGATACTTTTGTATGCGATGATTTTGCGAATCCACCACATAAAGATGATTGTCTTTATCCAAAGTTAAGCCAACTGGCGAGTTTAATTGAAAGGGTTGATTGCCTTGCCCTTTTTCACCAATAACAATCGAGCCTTGCATATCATTAGGCGTATAGCGGATAATTCGATGATTATCGCAGTCGGCAACGTAAAGAAAACCAAACTGATCAGTAGCTATATCCTGTGGACGAGATAATTGCGTCAATTGATTTCCTTGTCCACGAAAGCCACCAACAAGCGTACCTTCTTTCGCTCCTTTACTCCATTTCATAATACGATGGTTACCTTGATCGGATATAAACAAAGTTGAAGTTTTATCGATGAAAATAAACGTCGGATGAGTCAGTTGATTCAGATTACTGCCTGAGCCATTGCCACCAGCAACGACCTGTTCGCCCGAAAGTTTGTCCTCGCTTAATCTGTACTTGCGGATTTCGTTTTTCTTCCAATCCGACACGAAAAGATAACCAAAATTATCTAAAGCAAGACCAGACGATTTGATATCCGATAGTAGAACTTTTCCTTGTGATGATGCTTTATCAAGCGACCATTTCAAAATTCGTTTGTTTCCCCAATCGGAAATGATTATCGAATTGGATTTCTTATCGAACACGACACAAGTGGGTTCGTTTAGTTGATCCAGTCGGTCACCTTTATTATTTCCACCAGCAATGATTCGTCCGTCTTTTTCTCCGTATTTCCATTTCAAAATGCGATGATTTGCACAATCGGCTATGTAAACATTAAGATCTTCGTCAAGGTAGATGCCCTCGGGTGCACTTAATTGATTGGTTCGTGCTCCTTCGCCATTTCCACCGGAGATTGTGATTCCGCTTGTGAGATATTTCGCCGAGACGGATTTTCTTTCTTGGGTAGAAGTCGATTGTGAAAGTTTGCTTTGACCTTGACGAATAATTTCCGTTCCTTTTCGAAAAAAAAGTAGATCAATAAACGACGTGAAATGTAACTCTTACCGGTGGATGAGGAGATGATGAAAACTCGTTGAATGAAAGTCGAGGAATCTTGCTGAAGCGAAACGTTCGGTGCTTTTGCAAGTTCTTCGATTAATTTCGTTAACTTTAATCTCAACTGCTCTAAAATAATCTCGTTAAATTCATTTTCTTCTCGAGTAACGACTATATCATTATGTAATTTATTCAATTTCATTTCGATTTCGTTGTAACATTGCAATGCTTCGAACATAAATATCTCCCGGCAGTCATCAGCAGTTTGTTTGATCTTTTTGATCGATTCACTTTCCCACTTGGCGATCTTTTGCATGGTTTGATGGTTTGGCAAGTTTTCCTTTTGTTCCAGAAGAATCTCACGAAATTGATCGCGGTCATTTTCCACGACGCCCAACTCTTCGATGAAAATCTGCCGATGTTCACTCAGATGCTTGTAACAGAAGTCTCTTGCACATCCTTTACACTGATAGGTTATCTTTTCTTCGTTGCAAACCGAACATTCGCGACGGCCGTTTGGCGTTATCGACATTTGGAGATGAATCGGAGAAAAATGCGGCGAAAACAAGTCGATTTTGCTACGAATGAATGCCTGTATGTATGAGGATGCGCATCATCATATAAACGAAAACAAGCGATGATTTGGTGTACCATTCATTCGTGTAGAACGAACGAAAAAGAAAGTATTACATTTGTGGTATGCAGTTTAACGAGCCACGCGGAATGTATATGGAGCAAAATTAACCGATTTTCGATAATTGTCCGCCACGTAGCTTTTGTACAGTAAACAAATGATATTTTCGATCTGTATCCTCTATCAAGGTGGATTTTTCCTATAAAAGTCTGGTCAGTTTGATTTATCTCGATCGCTGCATTACGCTCGGTCCGACTGTTTATGAGGGAGAAAAAGATAACTGAACTTCAGATGGAGTTTTGAAACGACGGCTAATTTTTACATCGGTCGTATTCCTCAATAATCATTCGCCAATCTGTTCAAATCAAGTCTTTCTCCATTATTTCAGCTACCCCGAGTGATGTTTGCATTTGTTTCATACGTGGCAACTGCAGATTTGAGAAATATAAATACAAAATTTGAGCATACAAGCCATTGACTTTTATTTACCAAAAAGCTATAAATAATTGAATAGAAAAGTCATAGGATGTACTTTTAAACGGTTAATTTTATTTTTCTGCAATCACAAACGGCTAATTACTTTGCGCCAGACAAAAGTGTCGGAATATGTTCACAAAAAAATCGATTTATTGTTCTTAGTTTAATTCTTTCATTGTTCATGTGCGTATGTGCGGTTTTTATTCGTTTTACCTAGATCAGATGGTCTCCTTCGTAGAGTGTCGAGTGCAACTACGTTATCCCGAATTCAACTGCTGTGGCTGCGGAAGAGGTGCACTAAGATTTTTCCAATCATCTATTTCTTGTAGTTGCGTGTAGGATGGTCCATATGGTTTGTACCAAAAGACGGTAATACAGCTTTCAAAGTCATTCCTCAACAAACAACTAATAACTAATAACGATTTTAATTTGTCTGATTGTATATTAGCTGTGCAGACAACAGACACTTCAATGACATATGTATTAAACATTCCTCAAAATAGTTATTTGCTCTTTTTTACTAACTGGACAAGTGACAGTTACAATCTTTCATGTGTGAATTCAACGCTACCGTCGAATGCCTCGATGATACGTCGACATGATTCTGTCCAATGTTTACCGTCAACTACTACGCATAAAGGTAAAACGGAAAATCGACAGTAGGAATTTGGACAATATTGCCGGATTTTAAAAACTGCCTAGAGATAGCGTGAGGGTACAGATGAGGATGTAATGGTGTGGATGGGTCTGGACAGTAGGATACTACATGAAAATTTGTACTGAAATACTCCTAGGAAAGCCTATACAGTTTTTCAAATCTGCAAGATTGTCCAAATTCCTATTGTCGATTTTCCACTAAACCAAGGATAATGCCGTTCAATGCTACTGAATTTCACTTGTGAAAAGTATCGATGACAAAAAAAAGCGATCAAAGCCAAAAACAGTCGTGCGTTTCGTATATGTAGATATTCAAGAAACAAATGATTTATTAAAACAAAACTTTTGAAAAATTACATGAATTGAACTGTTTTGTTTTTGCTTCAAAATACTTTCAAATAGGGTGGTGATGGAAGATTTGCATCTGTTGCACTATAAACAGCTGCTTGTTTGAAATCACAAGGTGTTTCACGCCATAAATAACGGATACCATATATTGTGCTTGATGCACATGAACTTGGAATAGAAAGACTGACTGACAATGAACTTTTGGATGAAGCGGTTACTAATAACCAGGCATTATCATTTGTTGCACAAGTTGCGCCTTGACAACAGATCTAGAAGAAATATTTTGGTAGAAAAAAAAGGCACTTTGTCAATGTCTTTACTTCAAATCCATTAGGATTACGAAATTCGATTGCAGTTACATTTGTATAACTAACTTCAATTGTCGAAGATGCACTTGACACAACAACATTCGATACAATGGGACCTTGGTATTCAACTTGTTGTCCATAAGCAACAGCTAAACCAGCACGAGATAATCGATAACAAACGTCGGTTTTTGTGCGTGGATGAATACTAAAGAAATTTTCAATGAAAAATCAAACTCTCTCGCTTGGTTAACTGTTACCCTCCGGGATCATCTCGTAAGTCCATAGCGGCTGCCATGAATACATTTGGCACGACATTATTTGGAACATAGCCGATACCGAATGTCTGATACCAACGAATCCATGGAAATCCTCCGACAAAACTTGTTGAATTTCGGTTTGTTGACAACTTTCAATGAGACAGAATAGATAAATTCGATGAAGAAATCTTCTTTCCTACTTGAACGAAGCCGAAAGGAAATTGTAGATTTGTTATTCCATTAGTTCGCGTATTCCAAACTTGTCTCCAATACGTGATCATTTTCGAAAATGTACAAATATATTTATCACGATTGTAACCTGCATTCGATTCGCCTTGGTACCAAATCGCACCAGTGACGACCATACGTGTAAATGGATAGATCATTCCGTTGTACAATTCTGTATTTGTTGCCGAGACTTTTTCTAAACCTTCAAAGTCGTCAATATCCTTTTTCGCCTTCTTCTTTCTAAATAAAAAAAAGTCATTTTTCAAGGAACTAAACATATTCCTTCTTACTTTGTAATTCCACAATCAGTCAAAGCTTGTCTTGGCATCCACAATTCAATTGCAGTTCCGCCCCATGATGTGTTAATGAGTCCAATCGGCCTTCCATTCAAAGCTGTATGAATCATTCGGCCATACATCCAACACACAGCAGATGCATAACCATTTCCCACAACGGATGACGATGCAACAGACCATTTCATTCCGATCGATGGAATTTCTTCTACAGGTGCTGCTGCACCTACACGTGCTACACCAAATAGACGTATTTTGGGATAATTTCCAGCATTGGCAATTTCAGTTGAACCATTGAACACTTGACTAACGGGCCATTGCATATTCGATTGTCCCGAACAAACCCAAATATCACCATAGAGAACGTTTTTTAAAGCGATACTTGCAAGTGTTCCATTCGCCAATGGTTGAGTGACAACGACTTCAAACGGACCTTCGTCACTCTCAGCATCGAGTGTAACTGACCAAATGCTCGCTCCAACTTTCTCGTTGATCTTGGATTCACTTCGAGTTTTGTAAATCTTATTATTCATTGTCAACGTTGTTATCACATCAGTATCACCATACCCCCAAACTACAGCACGTTGTGGTGCACGTTGCAGCACCATATTGTCCGAGAAATAATTGGCAAATCGAAGTTGCCCATGACCTTGAATTTTAACATAGAGAAATCTTATTCAAATTTCCGATGAATATTTACTTTCTATCACATATAATAATAAAAGAAGAACCAGATACCAAGCCTTCATCTCCAACTACAACTGAAAATCTTTTCTCTTCGTCTTTTTGTATATATAAATTTGTTAATCAGAGTTTAAACAAAGATAACATATCTCGCAATTTTACGAACATTCCTTTTTGTTTAGCAAAGAAAAGAATTTCATTCATTATCAAAATGTTTAAAAGGACTTATTTTTCTCTTAATCACTATCAGAAAGAATTCATTGTTAGGTGTGCATCTAGCACAATGGGGGAAAAGCGATACTCCATACTTCAGTAATACTCCAGCCTACTCCACTCGTACTCCAACAAATTTTGTAAAACTGGAATATTGACGGGTCTCTCTTTGTAGAGTAAGAATGGAGTATAGTGAAGTAAAATGGACTACGGGTAGCGTATTGGAGTAGCGCTTTTCCCCCTGGATCTAGTGACATCTGTATTACAAGACTAAAATTCATTCGAGGATCACCGAGTGGAACAACGCAAAGAGAAGATCAATTTACATCGAGTGGATAGACAAAATGAAGGATCGACTAGCGTTTTTCTTTCTATTTCACTAGAAGATGTTGCGAATATGCATCCTGTCGACGTTTATTGCATTAACTTATGGAATAAATTTGGATTTTTTATTAGCCAATGGTCCAACGCATATCAGTTCAACAAACTCCTATTTTATTCCATATGGTGATCCAAAATCGAACTTAACAATGAAATTACTTCAAGTTGATCCGCATACTGGTCTTTGGGTCAATATTCTACGAGGACCACCCGGTGCTGTTTTAGGTACACATAGACACTATGATCAGGTGTATGGTTATACATTGAAAGGTGCATGGGGCTATCGAGAACACCCGGAATGGTTATCTCGAGCTGGTGATGTTGTTCATGAAACACCGGGATCGGTTCATACTTTGTTTATTGATGATAATCACGGTGAAACAGAAACGTTATTTTTTGTTTGGGGTGCTTTGGAATATTTAGATGAACACGGTAAAACCAAAGAAATCGAAGACTGGAGATCGATTCTTCAGAAATATGTCGATTATGGTCAAAAGAATGATTTACCTATTGTTGATGTAACTTATCCAAAACAGAAAGTCGAAGACGTTCATTTTCATTCACATGACAAGATTGATCTATAAGCTTTGACATTTGTTTTTCATGAATAAACCTAGAGGATGATTTATCTTTAGCTGTTTAACACTTCGATAACATGGGAGAAAAAAATTTTTTCCCCATCGTATGGTACTTTTTGTTTTTTGTCATATCAGCCTAAGTATAAGTTCTTCACTAAAAGTCAGATGATGTGATGAAGCTGTTTGTATAAGCACAGAAAGAAAAACGAGTCATGCTGCTTTCCTTTTTTTTCTTTCTCATTCTGTATATTATTTACGATTGTTCTCTTTCGCCTCGAGTTTCCGCACGATTTTTCTTCTTCTTCTTTGTATGGCGAGATCGATGGTGTTCGTTATTTCTTTCGACAGAAGAAGAAAAACATTATCCGGCAGAAAATAGTCTTCACGTGTTTATGCGACGCCGACAATACATCGTTAGTCTTTTTATACTCCTTTTTCCCTTTCATAGATTTTTTTCTCCCTTCATTCTCATGCATTTACATCCTCTCTATATATACACAATTATAATTAAAATACTATGTATCATACAAGTACTTCACAAGGTAACGTTTCTTTTAGAAGTTATATCAATAAAGTCGATATCATTCTGATAAGAACAATAAAGTACGTACATAGGAGATTTTTTTTTCCGAATAAAACGGCATTCGTTGTTTAGAAACCAATGGGACGAACATCAAAAGAAATCACCATCGCCTTTGCATTGAATATTGGTGCAGGTTTAGCCACATGTATTGGTGGATTAGTGCCTTTCAGCCGAAAGCTTATCTCACTAGCGAAGCCATCACGAATCGGAATTGCTTTAGCCTTATCGGCTGGTGTGATGATTTTTATATCTCTCGCCGAAATATTTGGCAAAAGTGATGAAGAATTTCAAAAGTTTTTTGGAAAAAATGCCACAAATATTTGTCAGAACCTAACGAATTCATGTCAAGATTTACAATTTCAATGTGCAAATCGCAATGTTTGCAATGAAATTCGGACTGTGTGTCAAACTTTCACCAATGAAACGTCCAACGAATTCGACTGTGATAAGACATGTCGAGGACATAGTAAAACATTAACTACGGTATTTTTTCTCCTTGGTGCTGCATTAATCTTCCTGTTGGATTTTATTGTTCACAAAATCTCACCTGATCATAAACATGATATCGACATTGAAGAAATTAATCATTTAAACCACCAAGCTGTGTCAATTAGAGATCCTGAAGATGGCTCAAATTCTCATCCAAACGGAAGTCTTCATCACAAGAAAGCTCACCAATCATTAAATCGTACAGGAATCTTAACAGCACTTGCGATTGGACTTCACAATCTTCCCGAAGGTATCGCAACATTTCTCGCGGCCAGCATCAATTTGAAAACAGCAGTACCGTTGGCTCTTGGAATTGCCTTACATAACATTCCGGAAGGGATTGCCGTGGCAACACCAGTTTATTTTGCAACACAATCAAAGTGGAAAGGACTTCTCTATACGTTCATCTCAGCACTTGCTGAACCTCTCGGTGGACTTATTTGTTTTCTGATTATTAGTAATGGTCTCAATCCGTTCGTTAATGGAGCGATGTTTGGCATCGTCGTTGGAATGATGGTAACGATCTCGTTGAAAGAATTGATTCCGACTGCATTGCGGTTCTGCACATCAAAAGGTCAAATCAGCGTGTCGGTATTAGCTGGAATGTTAATCATGGCGTTGAGTTTGATTATTTTCGATTATCTTGGTATGGAGTGAACCGGTTGATTTTGTCGAAACTTTCGATGTCTCTTTCCTTTTTTTGTATGAATTACAAAGTAATATATCATTTGTTTTCATATTTATTGTTAAAAGAACAGTTATTTGAATAATAGTAGAGCAAGTCCTTTATCTTCTTTTCGATCAACGAAACATTTCTTATCTTACAGAGAATAAATTTTGCTTGTTTCGCAGTACGACAAAAAAAAGGTAAGTCGAATGGTTCGTTTCAATATCCATTTAGGATTTCTTTCTTAACGTAGAATTTTCATCAAGTAGGTCTTCACTACATTTTTTTGACATTGTGCAGATGTTACATCACAAGCTAAGAGAGATACGAGAACTTTTTCTCAATTTCTTATCGCTGAGATAAGTACATACTTGTTTGATAAAACAGAAGTAAAACTCGTCGGGAATGTCGCTCTGATCACCGGTGCGTCCGAAGGTATCGGTTTGGCGACTGCTCAACATGTCTTTACCACTGGACGTCGATAGACAATACTTGACGATGAGATAAAAATATTCGCGAGCAAAAATGTAACTGTCATACGGAGTGATGCGTCGAATACAACTGATCGTGAAAAGCTTATTGATGTGATTCAAAAGCAAAAGGTCTTGCGTTTCCGAATGAATCAGAGGCAAAAAGAGTTATTAATTGCTATGCTCTTGAAGTAATGAATAAAATACACATATACGTACAATCAAAACAAGCACACAATTCAGCTGTTCTTTCCAGACTTATTATAAATCGCGTTTCATCCTTTGAGCGTGATTGATTGTCGCCATACGACGTTATCGTTTCATATATCTATGTTCACATATACATCGATATGTTTCTATTCTTCCGTTCGGTTCTTCTCCCTCCACATTACTTTTCAACTACGATAGATATTTTCTTTCCTGTGGAATGTTTCTTCTCTTGATCAACATATCCTCATGATGATTTTCCCCCTTTGTGTTGATTTTACTACACTGCTATTTTTCAGTTTTTCGTTGCTTTAAATATATAGGGTTGTTTGATCTTGTTTTGCCAGAGATTCTCATTCCTGTCGTTTTTGTCTTTGTCTGACCAGCATAAACGTGCCGACTACCTTCACATTTTCCCCTAATCATTCTGGCGATGAAAAATCTCCGGATCGTTTAATAATGTCTCGAAGTAGTTTCGGATGGCAATGGATGGCTGGTCAGTCTAAAAAATAGTCAGCATTTCTGTTTTTTTCTCCGAAGTGTCTCATTTTCATATTCCAGGTTGGTGAACCTTATCCCTATGTTATGAGAATAGAAGACACTCTTCAGATCATCTATATGGTACAGTATGGACTAAGCCGACACGTTTGAAGACTTCGTTATTTTTGCTTGGTTCACTCGAGATTGCTCAATATGAACAGAAGTGACGTGAGTTTCTCTGGTACGAAAGTTAACTTTTGCAAAGAGAGAAAATACAGATTATTAGATGAGATTTATGTGTGGTTACTGAACCATGTTTTGTTTAGATCGAAAGTATCAGAATGTTGTTTTTATTTATGTAAGAACAAATTTTTCTGATTGTCATTCTTTTATTTTCCAAAGTCTTTAATGCCTTCGTGGAAGAAAATAATTTTTATGGCGATTGAGTTACGATTTTACAATTACAAATCAATTAACAGTTTATTTTTCTGTTAACCATGTGTAAAAAGTCATCAAACAGAAATATCTGTATGTATTGACGTCAGGGAAACAATTATGGGAACGTCAACTTTTTGCTCCGTTCCCATGGGAAGGGAAATGGGAAAACTTCTTCCCACAAGACACTATTTAGAATGTACATTTTTTCGTTTCTTATTATGTCATCGAGAAAAAAATTATTATGGTTACGGATGAATGAAAACGTTACTTTTTTTCTCTTTTGCAGTTGCATTCTTTCATCGTGTCTTATTGTAAAAAATCAAGGATTCTTTATGGCGCTTGGTACAAAAAACGCGCATCCATGGTTTGAAGTTTTTCATTCGCGTCCTCGAGCAAAATATCAAGTTTTCATTTTTCCATCAGCTGGTGCTGCAGGTATTCGTCGTCGAATTCTTTTTTTAATGAGAAAAGATCAATATTTTTTATTCAAGGTTATTACTATCGCGAATGGGATAAAGAGTTTCCTGAGTATGAATTCTCAATCGTAAACTATCCGGGACGAGCTCAGAGGCTCAGTGAAAAGTGTTTAACAACGATGAAGGAGTTTGTTGAACAATTGACAAGTGGCCTTTTGCCATTTATCACAAAACCGTGTATTTTTATTGGACATAGGTTTGTTTTTCGTACGAACAATCACTTCTTCGTCACCTTCTATTCTAGTTTGGGATCTGCGATTAGTTACGCATTAGCTAGACATATGCTTGAAACAAAGAATAAGGGAAATTTTCTGAAGTTATTAGTAGAAATGGGTCGAGGACCTCCGCATTTAGAAGATCCCGATGTTCCATTTGAAAAGATGACCGACGCGGAAATTGTCGCAGAATTAAAACGCATCGCTGGTAAACACTTCTTTGAATCGTTTCGCGTTGTCTTATTGATCGTCTTTAGATCCATCAGCACGAGCAATCTATGATTACCCTGAATATGTTCAAATGATGTTACCAATGCTACGAGCAGATTCGAAAGTAGCGGGTGAATTGTGCGATCCAATTCCATTGGATATTCCGATAATTGTGTACGGTGGAGAGAAGGAAGAAAGTGTGGATGAATCTTTTTTAGCTCGTTGGAAAGAATTAACAAATAAAAAAGATCTCTTTCATGTTCAAATGTTTCCTGGCCATCATAATTTTCAATCGGAATGTCAAACTCAAGTCTTAACTCATCTCAAGGAAGATTTTCGCCGACTGCTGACTTAATAACTTACTTTTTTCGATGTTTACATCAGCCATATGCAAATAAGAACAAAAAAAAATTCGATTTATTTTTCATCCCACGTCCAAATCATGACAAAAACATATTTTTCTTTTTTCTCACACACAGAAAAATTCTCCTTTGAATAAACCATTTGCACTGAAATAAAAAAAAACGAAGCAATGGGTTTCAAAGAGCGATTTCCCCGTTGGCTGATAATCATTTTCGCTGTTGTTCAACTTGTTCTAACATTAGCGATCATTGGAACTGAACTCGGCTCATTCTATAATAACGTTGCACATGGAACCATTTGGGCAGGATTCTGGTCGGCGTTATTCTACATTCCGACTTGTGTTCTCCTGTTTGTTATGAGTAAGGAGAATCTCATTTGTATTTGTTTCGCATGCGAAGTTCTTTCTTTTCAAGTTTGTTGCTGTCGCGGCCGATGTTATGCGACATATGTTTTAGTATTACAAGGTAAGATCTCAAAGTCGAGTCAAAATTTTACACTCTGTATCGATTTCGTAGCTTTATGTTTGTTGACATCTGTTGCTGTTATTTATTTCGCCGTTTATTTTCAAGATAACCTATGTAAATGTTATTTGGGTGATAATTTATGTTGTGCATTACGTGATATGAAAAGTTTTAATCAAGATTACGATCAAATAGCGAATGAATGTTCACCTGTCACTGTCAATGGTGTTCAAACCGTTGTTGACCCTTGTTCATCTTCACCACCGACAGCGAAATTACCGTACTTAAGAGCGCAAATCAGTTTTGCTGGGGCGATGATCATTACTTGTATTGTCTATGCGGTCGTATACATATTCGCCATGTTTGGGATTTGTTTTGGCCATTAGAAAGAATTTTCGATTAAGTTTTTATTGATGAAGAGAAAGAAGAAAAAAACTCTTGTTCTTTTATGTCAATGCATGTTTTCTTTTCAAAAAAAAAACCAATCGAATAAAATCATGTTTTTACTTCTTGAAACTTAAAAATTCGATTTGATTAAGTCGGCTGCTCGTTCACCAAGTGCAATCGTGGGAATATTTGTATTGCCAGAAATGAGTTTAGGAATAATACTGGCATCAACAACACGTAAACCTTGAACACCTTTGACTTTTGTGTCTTGTGTGACAACAGTCATTGGATCATTTTCTAAACCCATTCGACATGTTCCAACCGGATGATAAACAGTTATACCATATTTTCTGATATAAGTCTCCCAGAATTTCTCTTCGTTTTCGGACTTTTTCACTTCTTCATTCAGATCTTCGGCTAATGACTGAAGAACATTTTTTAACGGCTCGGTTTGACAGATTTTATCGAATAGCTGACAGGCTTTAATTAATGTTCGTACATCTTCGTCATTTTCTAAATAATTCGGATCGATCAATGGATAATCCAGTGGATTTGCACTTGCTAAAACGATCTCTCCTCGAGATTTCGGATGAAGAATAGTTGGAATACAAATCGCAGTCCACTGATTGCCATTAATAAAACATTTCTCCAATACTTCATCTTTATAATTAAAATTTTCAATCACATCTTTCGGAACTGTAAACGGACAGAAATGTGTTTGAATATCCGGAACGTTATTTTCTTCTAAAAATCAAAACAAACTACCCGTCTGATTTCATTTCTGTGCTGATCAATTCCTACCGTTTTGATTTACTTGACACCATGATTGCGATTCGACAACACATGAAGTTAAAACACCTTTACCGTTCGTTGCCCAATTGATTAGATTTTCTTGATTTAAATCAGCGAGAGAAAGTGTTTGAATTGTGCTCGAATAGAATATAGGGACAATGAGATGATCCTGAAGATTTTTGCCGACACCAGGTAAGTCGACGATAACCGGAATTTGAAATTTTTCTAATTCTTTCCGAGGGCCAATACCGGAGAGAAGAAGCAGCTGTGGACTACCAATTGTACCGGCCGAGAGAATAACTTCTTTCCCACGGATAGTTTCATCTGTATCCAAAGATTTTTCCCGCCGAATGATTACTCCTATAGACAATCGTTTTGTAAATGAAAATTTACAAAACAATGCTAACCTGTTGCATTTTTCTTCTCGTCAAAAGTCACTTTGGTCGTGTATGCACTGACCAATAGATGAAAATTCTTTCTTTTCACAGCGCTCAATAGATAAGCACTGGCAGTTGACCAACGTTTACCGCCTTGTGTTGAGACTTGTGAATGAGCAACACATCCGTTCAAACTATCCTCTGCATTATAATCATCGGTTTGATGGAAACCATTTTTAATTGATGACTCGATGAATAATTTGTTCAGCTCATTGGCAGCGTCCAAAGAAGATGCATTAACCATCCCATTCTTCTCGTCATGACTTCGGTATTTCGAATTCAACGGAATTGTGTTTTTATCAGCAATTTCTAACTTTTTGAAGTATTTGATCATGACATCAAATGTCCACTCAGGTAAATTCCAGTTATTGTAATCATTTGGATCACCGCGAACAAATTGCATGTAATTTATAGATGAGCAGCCACCTAATACTTTTCCACGTGGCCAATTACCGACTTGATTTTTACAAGCAAAGTGCGAATTCTTCTGAGGAACGGTTTTATACTGCCAATCGATTTCACAACGTTGACAATTTGCACTGAAAAGAAAAGAAAGCTATTCGAGAGAAGGATTTAGCTGAACAAACCATGCAGCTGGCATATGAATTTCATCTTTTGTATCCACACCACCAGCTTCAATCAAAAGAACTTGTTTTGTCTCATCTTCTGATAAACGACTGGCTAGAGCCGAACCAGCCGAGCCAGAACCGACAATGATGTAATCATATTCAATTTCATCAACTTTTGTTTCTGAATAATCTTCTTCCCATCGTTTTATCACCGATGGAGATTCACTCACAACTGGAGCAGCAGTTTGTTCAGCAACGCTCCCTTCTGTCATTGTCGAATAGAATGAAGACAAAAGGAGACAGAGGATGGTTTTCTTTTGTACAATAGCAAACACGGTATTCACCTCGACTTTTATATCTGTCAGATAAGATAATAGTATGTGTCGAACGAAGTTTTTTTCTCTTTCTGTATTTAGATAAAAGATGTGACCAATCAGCAGTCGTCTTTATTGTTCATGCGAAATACAAATAAGCGTGTCCGATTGGTGACGCACGAAGAATGGATGTTTTTTGTTTTGATCATCGACATGTGACCCTTTTTTTTCTGTATTTATGAATGATATAATAGAGAAAATGTATTCTTGGAGAATAAGATTTATTTTTATTTTGAAAGTACACAGTAGTGCAAGTATTCGATCATACCTATACTCAAACCTACTGAATCCTTGATAAATAACATACCACAGTTGAATTCGAGTGAAATTGTCTTTAGAGCTTTATACAAATGATCTATCTGATTATTTGAATTCACTTGATTCGTCATTTTTCATCGGCATGATTCAGACAGACTTCTCACAGATAAAAGGATTTAAAAGGAGGCGTGAATATGTTAGGATCTGTGTGAATATGATGTGATAGAACTTGTACTTGAACTCCTTTTTTTCATAATAAAGATTTTCCGATTAATCAAAGAATCTCGTTGTAACGATAATGATATCGTTCATCTCTTTCTGTTCTTTATTCTCTCATCTCTGTATCATACTATCTCCGGGTCATATCTCTCTTTCCTCTTCTCTATATAAGCGCGTGTCTTATTGTGAAAGAGAGACATTCTGGTCATGTAAAGTAGTCAATAAACATCTATACCCTGAGAAGCGATCAGCTATCCAACCAATTTGTCTAGCTAACAGATATGCTCAGTATATTCATCGAACTATGGAACTTATCCAGTTGATTTCGATCTCCGTGAGGATGCGATTATAGGTACGAATATGATAAATTCATCAGAGTGTCTAATAATAATTTAAATCATTTTCTGAGTGACAGGCAGGTAGGCAAGTATCTCACATTGAGAAAATTTCTTGTATACGTTAGATTGTAATTTAGTATTTCTTCTTCTATAATCGACTGTTAGGAACATTACAAACAGCGATAAAACTGTTAGAAGTACGACCTTATCTAATCTACGTTATATACATTTCAAACGCTCTATTCTATGCTTATAAGTACTATGGTGATGATAAAGAGACTCATGCTTTAATAAAAGAAACATGAAGATTCGAATAATACTGTTAGTATTGTATGTTATATTCACTGATGTTACTCTTTGCACAGCACGACAGCCACTTGGACTGCGTGCTGCTTCATTTTTGAGCGGTATTCCACTAGGAACTGCAATCCGAGNGAACTGCGGGTCAATTCCAATATCGAACGAATCAAATCAAGTTCTCCAAACAAAATATCTCAAATCCTTTATTTACTTCGACATTTGAATCACGAAAATGGTCTTATCTCAACTTATGGAATGAACTACCATTATGTTTCTCCCAGAAACATGACTGTATCGTTTATCTCCACCGGCAGCATCGTTTACGATGGATGCGCCTGTGACAAACAACACAATTGCACAAGTCAAGCAAAGTTCATCGACACAAACTCTTCGGAGACAATCTCAATCAAAGGCTTGAAAGTCGGTTGTACACCAAGTGAATCATTGTTTGCATCGACTCTCGAATGCTTTTATGGTCCATCGTGTATAGAACTATTTGAGAAATATACGAATTCGACGAAGAGTGTTCATCTTTCTATCAAAAACATGAAACAATTCTCTCTCAACACGACTGTTCAGCAACTCGTCGACAAACTGTTTATCGAAGATTGGAATAAAACGACAAACTATTCGTCGTACTATGAAACATGTTCGCCATCGTCTTGTTCATACACTTACATACAAAAATTCAATCCATTCCATGCATTGACACTTGCTATTGGTTTCCAAGGTGGAATGAGTATTCTTTTGCGATGGATTTGTCCGAAGTTAGTTCGAATAATCTTCAAAATCTATAAGCATCGAAAAAGAGAACAAAATATTGTTCAACCCATCATCGCGACACAGAACACATCAACTGACGGTATACCGTGTCATCTCGAAACGAAGTACGTTCACTTTTTTGGTCAGAGTTTCACATTCTACTTCTTTTTCCTTTGTAGAGCAAATTCTTCATCAACCATTCAACGTCCATGGAAAACGATTTTCATTTGGATATTAGTTATTGCAATAATCATCGCAACTCTAATTGTATTTTCTATTCTGTTCGCTAAATTTCAACTGACAGCAGAAACAACAAGCACAAGTATGAGTTTTCAATATACTAAATTTTTTCGACGTTCATCAACTTAACATAAAAGATTCGATTTCTTCTTTCAGCAATCTCGACAAGTTCAATCATCACAATGCCAAATAACATAACAAGACCAAACTCTACTCGAAGTCAGCTCATTCATTATGTCGTTTTTTTTTTCAGTGTTTCTGTCATTTATTTGTTCATAGATTGTCAGTTAAAGTTTCAGTTGAAATCGATATACAGATGGATTGACGCAGATCTTTCTATGAAGAGCATGACTGCTGATTTTAACGGCGATCTACGAGATGAAATTGTTCTTTTGCCTTCTTACTCCAATAAAATACTGATAATTTCACCACATCGGGACGAAGATTTTCAAATACGAATCGTGCCGCTGGAGGATTCTGTGACACACTTACTCATCGGCGATTTTAACAATGATGATTATCTTGATTTAGTCACAATTGACTGTACCGAGCGTATCCATATTCATTTGGGAAAGAGCGACTATACATTTCAATCGCCAATTACTGCAACTTCGACCGATTATCAGACAGTATTTAGGCAGTTAAATAGCGGAGATCTTAATCATGATGGCTTTTTAGATATTGTTCTAGTTTTCGACACTTCTCCTAAGCTACGTGTATTATTAGGACATGGTAATGGAAGTTTCAGTCAACAATATGATATCGATATGCCTTCAGAACTGACAGCAATAATGTGGTCTATCTATATCAAGGATTGCAATAACGATAGTTATCTGGATATAATCGTTGCTTACGAGAACGGTCGCAGTATATATGTATATTTTGGAAATGACTCTGGCATATTTGAAATGAAGAGAATTTATAAATCATTCGATTATGTTATGGTACGGTCTTCGTTAATAGTGGATGATCTTAATAATGATGGCCAACTAGATTTTCTTATATTCTATATGAATTGCGACAGCATTACGATAATATATAAGATCGATTACGAAAGATTGGATTTGGTGGTTGAGCACACAATAGATCTTGGTATTACCGTGGAAGGTCCTTATGTCATTGCGACTGACCTAGATGGAGATCGAAATAAGGATATTGTCGTACTCGCTGGCAGCGCAAAAAGTCTTTTCGTATTTTTGGGTGATGGCAATGGAAACTTTAAAAGAAAAGCAAATTTTACTAGTGAAGTTTTTACACATTATATGAGTGAGTATGTTTATATTGTTGTGAATAATTTCACTAGATATAAGCAGAAAGACATTGTATTTTACAACATGATCAATCAAACGATCGATGCGGTTTTAACTGAAAATCAATGTTGAAGTTCTCACATTTAAAAGAAAGTAACTTTCATGATCAAAACTATTTCATTCTTTTATCTATCTATTCTTCTGAATCGTCCCATTATTGATATTATGAGTTTGTTCTTCATCGCTTTATGTCAGTTTATTGCATTCCTCGTAATCTTTTGCTTCAAAATAAACTACAACTATAAAAATTTGACCTGAAAGTTTGTTGTGTTCATACTGGCCATAAACACCAAAATAGTTGTTGAAATAAGACGTCAATCGCCTACGTTTTGCGTTCTATATCAACTGCAATCTTTTAAAAGTCATTCTGAAACACGACGGGTGTAAACAAAAATCGAGAAAGATTTCGATGATAAAAGTAAAATCCATGCTCGCCTGAAAGACCGTTCGTTACACACACGTAAACCACAGTAGTTTATAGTTTGTTTTATTTTCTGTTAGATTTAAAAAAAACAAGGCACTGTGTTTTGCTTTCTGTTTCGCTCTAATCTTTATAGAACTAACCAATCGTCTGATATTTAATATCTATTTTTTCCCGGATGTCAGAAAAAAGACTGCAGCAAACATTTGCGTTGTCATTTCGTTATAATATATGATATTATTAGAAGCCAGTAGACCGATACTGGTGTGTTTATGTCGGAAGAATGGATTTCGATTTATCGGTATGGCACAATTCAAAGCGCTGCAAGCTTTTTCCTATATGACCAATCGAATGATTTCCGACACTTTATCTCAGATCTACTCCGATTAATATATCAGTCCCAGTGTGACGACGTCGAGCATATTCGAAGTGCAAATTAGAACGTCTGTCAAATAATTTCGGGATTTATCCAAAGCAAACTTGTTTCTTTTAGTGGAGGGCATACAAGACAATACAATAGATTGTGTGTTATATTCTGGCCAGAGAATAAATTACTATACAGATATACCAGACATTCAATGGTATGTGCTAACGAAACACCTATGTATTGCCCCACTCGGTATTTTTTGTCAACTCTACTGTTTCATAACTTCTCGATGAACTGATGAAAGGAGAGTGCAATCTGTCGACGCAATATAAGAATTGATATGATCAGTGTCAGTCCGTGCAATACACATACATTTACAACACGAAGGACAATCCCGTGTATACGATAGCGAATAGTATAGAGATCGTTAACTCAAGTCGAGTATTAAACTACTCCTTCGAGTTCTGAACTTATAAGCGTAAAAGTTTAATACTCGAATTGTCTCTTCGAATTATACATGTCTGCAAATTAAAATGATCTTTCCGTATGGATGACGAATGGTGAAAAAACGGCCTATTTTTGTCGTTAACGATTTTTTTCACTTGCAAACCTTGATATGTATAGGTCATCATACCCTTACACAGTCAGCAATGAAAAAAAAATTTATTTCTTTTTTTTATTTTATTGATTAGTGATTCACCGTTAGAATAGTAGAAAAATGATTTCATGTCTAATTAAGAGAGAGCTGATATTTTTGTATGCGATGATTTTGTGAATCCACCACATAAAGATGATTGTCTTTATCCAAAGTTAAGCCAATTGGTGAATTTAATTGAAATGATTGATCACCTTGGCCTTTGTCACCAATAACAATCGAGCCTTGCATATCATTAGGAGTATATCGGATAATTCGATGATTATCGCAGTCAGCAACGTAAAGAAAACCAAACTGATCAATAGCTAAATCCTGTGGACGAGATAATTGCGTCAATTGATTTCCTTGTCCACGAAAACCGCCAACAAGTACACCTTCTTTCGCTCCTTTACTCCATTTCATAATACGATGGTTACCTTGATCGGATACAAACAAAGTCGAAGTTTTATCGACGAAAATAAACGTCGGATGATTCAGTTGGTTCAGATTATTGCCTGTACCATTGCCACCAGCAACGACCTGTTCACCCGAAAGTTTGTCCTCACCTAGTCTGTACTTGCGGATTTCGTTTTTCTTCCAATCCGACACGAAAAGATAACCAAAATTATCTAAAGCAAGACCAGATGATTTGATATCCGATAGTAGAACTTTTCCTTGTACTGATGCTTTATCAAGCGACCATTTCAAAATTCGTTTGTTTCCCCAATCGGAAATGATTATCGAATTGGATTTCTTATCGAACACTACACACGTGGGTTCGTTTAGTTGATCCAGTCGATCGCCTTTATTATTTCCACCAGCAATGATTCGTCCGTCTTTTTCTCCGTATTTCCATTTTAAAATGCGATGATTTGCACAATCGGCTATGTAAGCATTAAGATCTTCGTCAAGGTAGATGCCCTCGGGTGAACTTAATTGATTGGTTCGTGCTCCTTCGCCATTTCCACCGGAAATGGTGATTCCGCTTGTGAGATATTTCGCCGAGACGGATTTTCTTTCTTGGGTAGAAGTCGAATGTGAAAGTTTGTTTTGACCTTGACGAATAATTTCCGTTCCTTTTCGAAAAACAAGTAGATCAATAAACGACGTGAAATGTAACTCTTACCGGTGGATGAGGAGATGATGAAAACTCGTTGAATGAAGGTCGAGGAATCTTGCTGAAGTGAAACGTTCGGTGCTTTTGCAAGTTCTTCGATTAATTTCGTTAATTTTAATCTCAACTGTTCTAAAATAATCTCGTTAAATTCATTTTCTTCTCGAGTGACGACTATATCATTATGTAGTTTATTCAATTTCATTTCGATTTCGTTATAACATTGCAATGCTTCGAACATAAATACCTCCCGACAGTCATCAGCTGTTTGTTTGATTTTTTTGATCGATTCACTTTCCCACTTGGCGATCTTTTGCATGGTTTGATGATTTGGCAAGTTTTCTTTTTGTTCCAAAAGAATTTCACGGAATTGATCGCGATCATTTTCCACGACACCCAATTCTTCGATGAAAATCTGCCGATGTTCACTCAGATGTTTGTAACAGAAGTCTCTTGCACATCCTTTACACTGATAGGTGATCTTTTCTTCGTTGCAAACCGAACATTCGCGACGACCGTTTGGTGTTATCGACATTTGGAGATGAATCGGAGAAAAAAACGCGGTGAAAACAAGTCGATTTTGCTACGAATGAATGACTATATTTATGAGGATGCGCATCATCATATAAACGAAACCGTGCGATGATTTGGTGTACCACTCATTCGTGTAGAACGAACAGAAAAAGAAAAGAAAGTATTACACTTGTGGTATGCAATTTAACGAGCCACGCGGAATGTTTATCGAACAAAATTAACCAATTTTCGATAATTGACCTCCACGTTGCTTTTGTGCAACAAACAAATGATATTTTCTATCTGTATCCTCTATCAAGGTAAATTTTTCAAATAAAAGTCAGATCAGTTTCATTTATCTCGATCGTTGCTTTATGCTCGGTCCGACTGTTTATAACGGAGAAAAAAACTGACTGAACTTTAGATTGGGTTTCGAAACGACGGCTATTTTATACAAATCAAGTCTTTGTCCATTTTTTGAGCTACCGAGTGATGTTTGTATTTGTTTTATACGTGGCAACTGCAGATTTGAAAAATGTAAATACAAAATTTGAGCCTACAAACCATTGACTTTTCTTTATCAAAAAGCTTTAAATAATTGAATAGAAAAGTGAACTGTCTCAGATCTCAGTCATATGACGTACTTTTAAACGGTTAGTTTTATTTTACTGCAATCACAAACGACTACTCTGCGCCAGACAAAAAGTGTCGGAATATGTTCATAAAAAATCGATTTCTTATTCTCAGTTTGATTGTTCCATTGTTCATGTACGTATTTGCGGTTTTTATTCGTTTTACCTAGATCAGATGATCTGTTTCGTAGAGTGTCGAGTGCAACTATTTGCAATGATACCTCCAGCTGGTTGAACGGTATTTATCAAGTTATTTGCGACGCTTATCGAGTTACCACGTCATGGTGTACTGACGATTATTTTTCCTACACCAGTTACTGGACAGGAGGCAGTACCTTTCGTTATCCGGAATTCAACTGCTGTGGCTGCGGAAGAGGTACACTAGAATTTTTCCAACCATCTGTCTCTTGTAGTTGCATGTAGGATGGCCCATATGGTCTGCACCAAAAGATGGGAAGGCAGCTTTCAAAGTCATTCCTCAACAAACAACCAGCGTCGGTTATTCAAGTGATAGTAATCTGAAATGCATCGATCCTCTCGGCAACTTAGGTCTATGTGATATGATGTGTAAAATGTGGATAGATCCAATCGTATCAGTGGCGACTATTACTAATAACGATTTCAATTTGTCTAATTGTACATTAGCTGTGCAGACAACAGACACTTCAATGAGATATGTATTAGACATTCCTCAAAATAGTTATTTGCTCTTTTTTACTAACTGGACAAGTGACAGTTACAATCTTTCATGTGTGAATTCAACGCTACCATTGAATGCCTCGATGATATGTCGACATGATTCTGTCCAATGTTTACCGTCAACTACTACGTATAAATGCGTCTCGTCGAGTAGGTTTGGACATTTATGAACTTGATATGTGTCAAATCATATTCTATTTAGATTGCCTCGATACGTCACTGTGGACAAACAATAATTCTCATGCAAATTTTTACATAGAATACACTTGTCATGATTATACAATCAACTATGCGTGGTGTTATGAAGGAACCTTCACTGAAAACTATCGATGGACACTAGGATCATTTTATAATTATCCAGAGTTTAACTGTTGCGGCTGCGGTAAAGGTAAACTCTCAGTTCTCATAAAAACCTCCACATCACTGACGATCTCTTTATAGGATGGCCATTGTGGTTCGTTCCAACATCAGGATATGCAGCAACAAAAGCTCTTCCACAACTAACCAAGAACATGAGCAGTAACAGTAGTAGTGGTACTAATGTTTTCTGTATTGATGCCTACGGAAATAGTCGCACATGCGACATGACATGTAAATTATTATCATACACAGTGACAACCACCGAAATGATTGCTAGTAATGACTTCAACGCATTCAGCTGTACACTCGTTGTAGACACACCGAGTCCATCGATGGGATATGTTATTACGATTCCTCAAGATAATTATTTATTATACTTCACGAATTGGACAACAACCGACTACAATTTTACATGTAAAGGCACACAAACACCACCAGCTGCTGGTATGTTGTGTCGACATGGATTCAGTCAATGCTTATCGTCAACAGTCACAGATCGATACATACCATTAAGTGAATACGTTTCGTTAAACTAATTTTACTTATCCTTTACTTTTGCTTAATAGATTGTGTTGATACACCTAATTGGGTAAATAAGTACTCGAAAAGTCCTACTGGGAACGGATGGAGTTGCTTCGAATATGAAATCATTTTCAAGATGTGTTCAGATGGAACTTTTATTCCTGGTCAGCAATGGACGTTCGGAAAAATTTTCAATTTTCCTGAGTTGAATTGTTGTGCTTGTGGAAAAGGTAAATCATTCTTTTCTGATATATTTAATTTTGCGCACTTTTTTATTTTGAAACAGCTTCACAATATCCATACAAATTGTTGAATGTGAGTAGCACGAACAACTCACCTATTCCATCTGACCTGGATATTGTTGATATACGCAACTGCAGTGTAGTTGCCGAAAATGTCACTTATACTTTTGATATGAAATGTTTGGGACCAACGAATTTCACGAAGATTAACATTACGATGAATGCCATTCTTTACAATTGCCCATTGGATTGTTTTTATAATCGAAATCTCACAATGGTCGATCTGTCACGTACAGTGAACGCTACACGTCTGCAAATAGGATCGAATGCGACATATTATCTTTCATCGCATCTGTTCCCAAATTTTCAAGTGGTCTGTGGGCCGAATCTTTCTGAACCAGTTTTTTCGACTGATGATCATAAGACAAGTGGAGCACTATCCACTTCATTAACAGCAGAAGCAAATCTCTCAACATTGCCAACCTCCTCTTCGACAACAGACATCACCACTGAAATAACTCTCACTACACCAATTTCCAATGCTTCGATTTTGTACATTCCAACATGTGCAAATGGCAATATCGGTCTCAATTGTAATATTAGTACCGATCTCTGTCAAATGACCAGTCCATGTTTTAACAACGGTGCATGTACAAATCTGCCATCATCTTCTTTTATATGTGCTTGCACACTAGGTTTTACTGGTTCCAATTGTGCGATTGATAGGCGACCATGTCAACCGTGGACCTGTCTCGATCGCGGTGTTTGTAATCAAACTAGTTCAACGACATTTCAATGCAAATGTTCTGCTGGCTATGACGGTGTTCATTGTCAATCAGCTATCGACTATTGTCAAAACACCACCTGCCAAAACAAAGGACAATGCCGTTCAATGCTACTGAATTTCACTTGTGAGTGCATCACTCCCGACTTTACTGGTCGATTTTGTGAAGTGAAGAGCACAAGTTTTGTCGTCAAAACCATCGTTAAACAATCTTTTGGATATATTGCTGTCATCGCCATTGTTAGTGCGATGTTTAGTATTGTTCTGATGGATGTATTGAAATATTTTTTCAGAGTCGATCCAGTCGCAAAGTATCGACGGCGACAAAAAAAGCGTTCAAAGCCAAAAACAATCGTACGTTTCGTATATGTAGATACTCCAAGAAACAAATGATTTATTGAAAAAAAAACCTTTTTGAAAAATGACATGAATTGAACTGTTTTGTTTTTGTTTCAAAATACTTTCAAATAGGGTGGTGATGGAAGATTTGCATCTGTTGCACTATAAACAGCTGCTTGTTTGAAATCACAAGGTGTTTCACGCCATAAATAACGGATACCATATATTGTGCTTGATGCACATGAACTTGGAATAGAAAGACTGACTGACAATGAACTTTTGGATGAAGCGGTTACTAATAACCAAGCATTATCATTGGTTGCACAAGTTGTGCCTTGACAACAGACCTAGAAGAAATATTTTGTTAGAAAAATAGACACTTTGTCAATGTCTTTACTTCAAATCCATTAGGATTACGAAATTCGATTGCAGTTACATTTGTATAACTAACTTCAATTGTTGAAGATGCACTTGACACAACAACATTCGAGACAATGGGACCTTGGTATTCAACTTGTTGTCCATAAGCAACAGCTAAACCAGCACGAGATAATCGATAAGCAACGTCGGTTTTTGTGCGCGGATGAATACTAAAGAAATTTTCAGTGAATAATCAAATTCTCTCTCTCCCGATTAGGTGTTACCCTCCGGGATCATCTCGTAAGTCCATAGCGGCTGCCATGAATACATTTGGTACGACATTATTTGGAACATAGCCAATACCGAATGTTTGATACCAACGAATCCATGGAAAACCTCCGACAAAACTTGTTGAATTGCGGTTTGTTGATAACTTTCAATGAGAGAGAATAGACAAATTCGATGAAGAGATCTTCTTTCCTACTTGAACGAAGCCGAAAGGAAATTGTAGATTTGTTATTCCATTAGTTCGTGTATTCCAAACTTGTCTCCAATATGTGATCATTTTCGAAAATGTACAGATATATTTATCACGATTATAACCGGAATTCGATTCGCCTTGGTACCAAATCGCACCGGTGACGACCATTCGTGTGAATGGATAGATCATTCCATTGTACAATTCTGTATTTGTCGCTGAGACTTTTTCTAAACCTTCAAATTCGTCAATGTCTTTTTTCGGCTTCTTCTTTCTAAATTAAAAAAAAAAGATTTTTCGAGGAACTATACACATTCTTTCTTACTTTGTAATTCCACAATCAGTCAAAGCTTGTCTTGGCATCCATAATTCAATTGCAGTTCCACCCCATGAAGTGTTAATGAGTCCAATCGGCCTTCCATTCAAAGCTGTATGAATCATTCGTCCATACATCCAACACACAGCAGATGCATAACCATTTCCCACAACGGATGACGATGCAACAGACCATTTCATTCCGATCGATGGAATTTCTTCTACGGGAGCTGCTGCACCTACACGTGCTACGCCAAATAAACGTATTTTGGGATAATTTCCAGCATTGGCAATTTCAGTCGAACCATTGAATACTTGACTGACAGCCCATTGCATATTCGATTGTCCCGAACAAACCCAAATATCACCATAGAGAACATTTTTTAGCGCGATACTTGAAAGTGTTCCATTCGCCAACGGTTGAGTAACAACGACTTCAAATGGACCTTCGTCACTCTCAGCATCGAGTGTAACTGACCAAATACTCGCTCCAACTTTCTCGTTGATCTTGGATTCACTTCGAGTTTTGTAAACCTTATTATTCATTGTCAATGTTGTTATCACATCGGTATCACCATACCCCCAAACTATAGCACGTTGTGGTGCACGTTGCAGCACCATATTGTCCGAGAAATAATTGGCAAATCGAAGTTGCCCATGACCTTGAATTGTAACATAGAAAAATCTTATTCAAATTTCCAATGAATATTTACTTTCTATCACATATGATAATAATAGAAGAAACAAATACCAAGCCTTCATCTCCAACTACAACTGAAAATCTTTACTGTTCGTCTTTTTGTATATATAACTTTGTTAATCAGAGTTTAAACAAAGATAACATATCTCGCAATTTTACGAACACTCTTTTTTGTTTAGCAAAGAAAAGAATTTCAATAATTATCAAAATGTTTAAAAGGACTTATTTTTCTCTTAATCACTATCATAAAGAATTCATCGTCAGGTGTGCATCTAACGCGCAAGTGGGGAAAAGCGATACTCCATACTCCGGTACTCCCGTAATACTTCAGCCTACTCCAACAGATTTTTTAAAACTGGAATATCGACTGATCTCTCTTTATAGAGTACGAATGGAGTATAGTAAAGTACAATGGACTACGGGCGGCGTATTGGAGTAGTGCTTTCCTCCCTGTAGATCTAGCGACATCTATATTAAGGCTAAAATTCATTCGAGGATAATCGAGTGGAACAAAACAAAGAGAAGATCGATTTACATCGAGTGAATAGACAAAACGAAGGATTGACTAGCGTTTTTCTTTCTATTTCATTAGAAGATGTTGCGAATATTCATCCTATCGACATTTATTGCATTAACTTATGGCATAAATTTGGATTTTTTATTAGCCAATGGTCCAACGCATATCAGTTCAACAAACTCTTATTTTATTCCATATGGTGATCCGAAATCGAACTTAACAATGAAATTACTGCAAGTTGATCCGTATACTGGCCTTTGGGTCAATATTCTACGAGGACCACCCGGTGCTGTTTTAGGTACACATAGACACTATGATCAGGTGTATGGTTATACATTGAAAGGTGCATGGGGCTATCGAGAACACCCGGAATGGTTATCTCGAGCTGGTGATGTTGTTCATGAAACACCGGGATCGGTTCATACTTTGTTTATTGATGATAATCACGGTGAAACAGAAACGTTATTTTTTGTTTGGGGTGCTTTGGAATATTTAGATGAACACGGTAAAACCAAAGAAATCGAAGACTGGAGATCGATTCTTCAGAAATATGTCGATTATGGTCAAAAGAATGATTTACCTATTGTTGATCTAACTTATCCAAAAGAGAAAGTCGAAGACGTTCATTTTCATTCACATGATAAGATTGACTTATAAGCTTTTTGACATTTGCTTTTCATGAATAAACCTACAAGAAGATTCATCTTTAGCTGTTTGACACTTAGATAAAATGGGAGAAAAAGATTTTTTTCCCACCGTATGGGACTTTTTGTTTTTTGTCATATCGGCCTAAAGTAAGTTCTTCACTAAAAGTCAGATGATGTGATGAAGCTGTTTGTATAAGCACATAAAGAAAAACGAGTCATGCTGCTTTCTTTTTTTTTTCTTTCTCATTCTGTATATTATTTACGATTGTTCTCTTTCGCTTTGAGTTTCCGCACGATTTTTCTTCTTCTTCTTTGCATGGTGAGATCGATGGTGTTCGTTATTTCTTTCGACAGAAGAAGAAAAACATTATCCGACAGAAAATAGTCTTCACGTGTTTATGCGACGCCGACAATGCATCGTTAGTATTTTTTCTACTCCTTTTTCCCTTTCATAGATTTTTTTCTCCCTTCATTTTCATGTATTTACATCTTCTCTATATATACACACAATTATAATTAAAACACTATGTATCATACAAGTACTTTACAACGTAACGTTTCTTTTAGAAGTTCTACCAATAAACTCGATATCGTTCTGATAAGAACAATAAAGTACGTACACAGGACATTTTTATTTTCGAATAAAATTACATTCGTTGTTTAGAAAACAATGGGACGAACATCAAAAGAAATCGCCATCGCCTTTGCATTGAATATTGGTGCAGGTTTAGCAACATGTATTGGTGGATTAGTGCCTTTCAGCCGAAAGCTTATCTCACTGGCGAAACCATCACGAATCGGAATTGCTTTAGCCTTATCGGCTGGTGTGATGATTTTTATATCTCTTGCTGAAATATTTGGCAAAAGTGATGAAGAATTTCAAAAGTTTTTTGGAAAAAATACCGCAAATATTTGTCAGAACCTAACAAATTCGTGTCAAGATTTACGATTTCAATGTGCAAATCGCAATGTTTGCAATGAAATTCAGACTGTTTGTCAAACTTTCACCAATGAAACGTCGAACGAATTCCACTGTGATAAGGCATGTCGAGGACATAGTAAAACATTAACTACGGTTTTTTTTCTCCTTGGTGCTGCATTAATCTTCCTATTAGATTTTATTGTTCACAAAATTTCACCTGATCATAAACATGATATCGACATTGAAGAAATTAATCATTTAAACCACCAATCTGTGCTAGTTAAAGATCATGAAGACGGCTCAAATTCTCATCCAAACGGAAGTCTTCATAACACGAAAGCCCATCAATCGTTAAATCGTACAGGAATCTTAACAGCACTTGCGATTGGACTTCATAATCTTCCCGAAGGTATCGCAACATTTCTCGCGGCCAGTATCAATTTGAAAACATCAGTACCGTTAGCTCTTGGAATTGCCTTACATAACATTCCGGAAGGGATTGCTGTGGCAACACCAGTTTATTTTGCAACACAATCAAAATGGAAAGGACTTCTCTATACGTTCATTTCAGCACTTGCTGAACCTCTCGGTGGACTTATTTGTTTTCTGATTATTAGTAATGGTCTCAATCCATTCGTTAATGGAGCGATGTTTGGCATCGTCGTTGGAATGATGATAACCATCTCATTGAAAGAATTGATTCCGACTGCATTGCGGTTCTGTACATCAAAAGGCAAAATCAGTGTGTCGATATTAGTTGGAATGTTAATTATGGCGTTGAGTTTGATTATTTTTGATTATCTCGGTATGGAGTGAACCAGTTGACTTTGTCGAAACTTTCGATATCTCTTTCCTTGTTTTTTTTTGTATGAATTACAAAGTAATATATCATTTGTTTTCATATTTATTGTTAAAAGAACAGTTATTTGAATAATAGTAGCGCAAGTCCTTTATCTTCGTTTCGATCAACGCAACATTTCTTGTCGTTAAGAGAATAAATTTTGATTGTTTCGCAGTACAACAAAAAACAAATAGGTAAGTCGAATCGTTCGTTTTAATATCCATTTAGGGTTTCTTTCTTAATATGGAATTTTCATTAAGTAGATCTTCACTACATTTTGTTGACATTATGCAGATGTTACATCACGAGTTAAGAGAGATACGAGAATTTTTTCTCAATTTCTTATCCCGGAGAGAAGTGCATACTTGTTTGATAAAAAAGAAGTAAAACTCGTCGGGAATGTCGCTCTGATCACAGGTGCGTCCGAATGTATCGGTTTGGCGACTATTCAACATGTCTTTATAACTGAACGTCGATAGACAATACTTGACGAAGCGATAAAAAAATTTGCGAGCAAAAGTGTAACTGTCATACAGAGTGATGTGTCGAATATAGCTGATCTGGAGAAGCTGTTTTGTGTTATTCAAAAACAGAAGATCGTCTGGGCATTCTCTTCACTAATGTTGATGCACATCTTGATGCAATACTGTTAGGATCAATCACTGAAAAAGATTTTGATTTTGTTTATGGTTCAAAAATTTCTATCAATCTTGGTCGATGGTGGATGAGTTATTATTACCAGTTCATACCTTTCTACCGAAGGACCATCAGGACAAAGTGTCTATGTGGCAAGTCGAGCTGCTCTTCGATCATTTGCATGCACACTTACAACTGTTTTGAAACAATACGTTAAACAGTGTGCGATTGACTGAAGATTTCGGAGCTTCTATACCAATGAAACGTTTCTGTACATTCAATGAAATAGTAAAAGCTGTTGTCTTTCTCGCTTCAGACGATAGCAGATACACCACGGGCATTGAACTCTTTATCGATGGTGGAGCGGCTCTTTGAAGTAAATTTAAGATTCTTCACAGATTTACGCGATGTATACTAATGTGAGAAAAATTCACTTCGGCAAAACCAATTCTATATTAATAAATACAACGAAATCTGACAAGATTCCGAGTTTTTTACGTTCTTCCAAGAGACAAAATATTATTAGATTGACCGATAACACAAACGTCACAATAAGAGCAGAATTTCCATCAACATGGGATGGAATAGTGTTGAGTATGAGTAGAGAACGTTCCGAAACAACTCTTCATGAAAAAAAATATCACCAAGAGTTCATTTCGTTCAGTTTTCAGCGGAACATATTTATTTTCAAAAGAAAGAAATTTTGTAAAACATCGTTGCAAATACGCCACCGATGAAGCAAAAGCTCATGCGTTTCCGAGTGAATCAGAGGTAGAACGAGTTCTAAATTGCTATGCTCTTGAAGCCATGAATAAAATACGCATGTACAATCAAAACAAGCACACAATTCAGCTGTTCTTTCCAGACTTATTATAAATCGCCTTTCATCCTGTGAGCGTCATTGATCGTCGCCACATGACGTTATCGTTTCATATATCTATGTTCACATATACATATGTTTCTGTTTTTCCCTTCAGTTCTACTCTCTCCATATTTACTTTTCAACTACGATAGATATTTTCTTTCTTTCTTTCCTGTGGAATGTTTCTTCTCTTGATCAACATATTCTCATGATGATTTTACCACACTGCTATTTTTCAGTTCTTCGTTGCTTTATGCATATAGAGTTGTTTGTTCTTGTTTAGCCAGAGATTCTCATTCCTGTCGTTTTTATCTTTGTCTGAGCCGAATAAACGTGAGGACTACCTTCACATGTTCCTCATGAGTATAGTAAGTTTGATTTCACTTTTTGAGATCCATATAGCTTCTTTTTATCTAGAATTCCCTTGAGCTGGCGATAGATACACATTCATTCTCGAGATTATAAGACCTTTTGATTCCCCATATCGAGAACCTCACACATCCATTCTTAATGGAAATATTCATCGCTATTTATGTACTGATTGTTTTGATTTTGCTCTTTCACGTAAATAAGAATACATTTATAGATACACTACAAGATCAGGTTTGATTTCGAAGGCAATTGGCGATGCGTCATACACCGTTCTTTATGATAGCAGTGCTTGTCTCTTTGTGTGCGCTAATTTGCGCCTTAGCAATTCTCCAAGCAACAAAAACAATGCTACGTTAAATCTTTCGATACAATACGGACTAGGACAAGCGATCGCAGATCGTCAAAAGCCTGACGCCCAAGATGGACTGTAACTTTTGTCAATGATAATCATTCTGGCTATGAAAAATCTCCAGATCGTTTAATAAAATCTCGAAGTACTTTCGGATGGCGACGATGGCTGGTCAGTCTAAAAAAGTCAGCATTTCTATTTTTTCCTCAGAATTATCTCATTTTCATATTCCAGGTTGGTGAAACTTATCTATGTTATGAGTATAGAAGACACTCTTCAGATCATCTATATGATATAGTATGAACTAAACCAACATTGTTGAAAGCTTCGCTATTTTTGCTTGGTTCACTCGCGTTTCTTCTTGTTGCAATTGGTCTGTGCGTGCATCGAATCTGTTGTTCCAATTCGAAAGAACCTCGCACACAATAATCAAAAGAACAGTCCGTCTCAATGACAGCTGGACGAGCAGAAACGGCTGTTTGACTCGAAGTTGCTCAATATAAACAGAACTGACGTGAGTTTCTCTGGTATGAAAATTAATTTTTGCAAAAAAAGAAAGTACAGATTATTAGATCAGATTTATGTGTACTTATCGGCCATTGTTTTGTTTAGATTGAAAGTATCAGAATGTTGTTTTTATTTATTTGCAATATGTTCGTACTTGAAAAACAACCTTTTCTGATTCTCATTCTTTTATTTCCCAAAGTCTTTAATGACTTCGTGGAAGAAAATAATTTTTATGGCGATTGACTTACGATACAATTAAAAATCAATCAACAGTTTATTTTTCTGTTGACCGTGTGTAAAACGTCATAAAACAGAACTATCTGTATATATTGCCGACAGGGAAATACTTATGGGAACGTCAACCTTTTGATTCATTCCCCATGCGAAGGGAAATGGGTAAACTTCTTCCCACAAGGCATTATTTAGATTGTACATTTTTTTGTTTCTTATATGTCATAAAGAAGAAAATTATTATGGTTACGGATGAATGAAAACGTTATTTTTTTTTGCTCTTTTTCAGTTGCATTCTTTCATCGTGTATTACTGTAAAAAATCAAGGATTCTTTATGGCGCTTGGTACAAAAAACTCACATCCATGGTTTGAAGTTTTTCATTCGCGTCCTCGAGCAAAATATCAAGTTTTCATTTTTCCATCGGCTGGTGCAGCAGGTTTTCGTCGTCGAATTGATTTTTTAATCAGAATAAATCAATATTTTTTATTCAAGGTTATTACTATCGCGAATGGGATAAAGAATTTCCTGAGTATGAATTCTCAATCATAAACTATCCGGGACGAGCTGAGAGGCTCACTGAAAAGTGTTTAACAACGATGAAGGAGTTTATTGAGCAATTGACAACTGGCCTTTTACCATTTATCACAAAACCGTGTATTTTTATTGGACATAGGTTTGTTTTTCATACAAACAATCACTTCTTCGTCATCTCTATTCTAGTCTTGGATCTGCGATTAGTTACGCATTAGCACGACATATGCTTGAAACGAAGAATAAGGGAAATTTTCTGAAGTTATTAGTAGAACTGGGTCGAGGACCCCCACATTTAGAAGATCCCGATGCTTCATTTGAAAAGATGACTGACGCGGAAATTGTCGAAGAATTAAAACGCATTGCTGGTAAAAAAAACTTCTTTGAATCGTTTCGCGTTGTCGTATTGATCGTTTTTAGATCCATCAGCACGAGCAATCTATGATTATCCTGAATATGTTCAACTAATGTTACCAATGCTACGAGCGGATTCGAAAGTAGCGGATGAATTGTGCGATCCAATTCCATTGGATATTCCGATAATTGTGTACGGTGGCGAGAAGGAAGATAATGTGGATGAATCGTTTTTAGGTCGTTGGAAAGAATTAACAAATAAAAAAGATCTCTTTCGTGTTCAAATGTTTCCTGGTCATCACAATTTTCAATCAGAATGTCAAACTCAAGTCTTAACTCATCTCAAAGAAGATTTTCGCCGACTGCTGACTTAATAACTTGCTTTTTTCGATGTTTACATCAACCATATGCAAATAAGAACAAAAAAAAATTCGATTTGTTTTTCATCCCACGTCCGAATCATGACAAAACATATTTTTCTTTTTTCTGACATACAAAAAAAAATTCTCCTTTCAATAAACCATTTGCACTGAAATAAAAAAAAACGAAGCAATGGGGTTCAAAGAGCGATTTCCTCGTTGGTTGATAATCATCTTCGCTGTTGTTCAACTTGTTCTAACATTAGCGATCATCGGAACTGAACTCGGCTCGTTTTATAGTAACGTTGCACATGGAACCATTTGGGCAGGATTCTGGTCGGCGTTATTCTACATTCCGACTTGTGTTCTGCTGTTTGTTATGAGTAAGGAGAATCTCACTTGTATTGGTTTTGCATGCGAATTTCTTTCTTTTCAAGTTTGTTGCTGTCGCGGCCGATGTTATGCGACATATGTTTTAGTATTACAAGGTAAGATCTCGAAGTCGAATCAAAATTTTACATTCTATATCGATTTTGTAGCTTTGTGTTTGTTGACATCGGTTGCTGTTATTTATTTCGCCGTTTATTTTCAAGATAACCTATGTAAATGTTATTTGGGTGATAATTTATGTTGTGCATTACGTGACATGAAAAGTTTTAATCAAGATTACGATCAAATAGCGAATGAATGTTCACCTGTCACGGTCAATGGTGTTCAAACCGTCGTTGACCCATGTTCATCTTCACCTCCGACAGCGAAATTACCGTACTTAAGAGCGCAAATCGGTTTTGCTGGGGCGATGATCATTACTTGCATTGTCTATGCGGTTGTATACATATTCGCTATGTTTGCGATTTGTTTTGGTCATTAGAAAGAATTTTCGATTAAGTTTTTATTGATGAAGAGAAAGAAGAAGAAAAAAAAACTTCTTGTTCTTTTATGTCAACGCATGTTTTCTTTTCAAAAACAGAAACCAATCGAATAAAATCATGCTTTTACTTCTTGAAACTTAAAAATTCGATTTGATCAAATCGGCTGCTCGTTCACCAAGTGCAATCGTGGGAATATTTGTATTACCGGAAATGAGTTTAGGAATAATACTGGCATCAACAACACGTAAACCTTGAACACCTTTGACTTTTGTGTCTTGTGTGACAACTGTCATCGGATCGTTTTCTAAACCCATTCGACATGTTCCAACCGGATGATAGACAGTTATACCATATTTTCTGATGTAAGCCTCCCAGAATTTCTCTTCGTTTTCGGACTTTTTCACTTCTTCATTCAGATCTTCGGCTAATGACTGAAGAACATTTTTTAACGGTTCGGTTTGACAAATCTTATCGAATAGTTGACAGGCTTTAATTAATGTGCGTACATCTTCGTCATTTTCTAAATAATTCGGATCGATCAATGGATAATCCAGTGGATTTGCACTTGCCAAAACGATCTCTCCTCGAGATTTCGGATGAAGAATGGTTGGAATACAAATCGCAGTCCACTGATTGCCATTTGCAAAACATTTCTCCAATACTTCATCTTTATAATTAAAATTTTCTAACACATCTTTCGTAACTGTAAACGGACAGAAATGTGTTTGAACATCCGGAACGTTATTTTCTTCTAAAAATCAAAAAACTACCCGTCTGATTTCATTTCTATGCCGATCAATTCCTACCGTTTTGATTTACTTGACACCATGATTGCGATTCGACAACACATGAAGTTAAAACACCTTTACCATTCGTTGCCCAATTAATTAGATTTTCTTGATTTAAATCCGCGAGAGAAAGTGTTTGAATTGTGCTCGAATAAAATATAGGGACAATGAGATGATCCTGAAGATTTTTGCCGACACCAGGTAAGTCGACGATAACCGGAATTTGAAATTTTTCTAATTCTTCTCGAGGGCCAATACCGGAGAGAAGAAGTAGCTGTGGACTACCAATTGTACCGGCCGAAAGAATAACTTCTTTCCCGCGAATAGTTTCATCCGTGTCCAAAGATTTTTCCCGCCGAATGATTACTCCTATAGACAACCGTTTTGTACATAAAAATTTACAAAACAATGCTAACCTGTTGCATTTTTCTTCTCGTCAAAAGTCACTTTGGTCGTGTATGCATTGATCAATAAATGAAAATTCTTTCTTTTCACAGCGCTCAATAGATAAGCACTGGCAGTTGACCAACGTTTGCCGCCTTGTGTTGAAACTTGTGAATGTCCAACACATCCGGTCAAACTATCCTCCGCATTATAATCATCGGTTTGATGGAAGCCATTTTTAATTGATGACTCGATGAATAATTTATTCAATTCATTGGCAGCGTCCAAAGACGATGCATTAACCATCCCGTTCTTCTCGTCATGACTTCGGTATTTCGAATTCAATGGAATTGTATTTTTATCGGCAATTTCCAACTTTTTGAAGTATTTGATCATGACATCAAATGTCCACTCAGGTAAATTCCAGTTATCGTAATCATTTGGATCACCGCGAACAAATTGCATGTAATTTATAGATGAGCAGCCGCCTAACACTTTTCCACGTGGCCAATTACTGACTTGATTTTTACAAGCAAAATGAGAATTCTTCTGAGGAACGGTTCTATACTGCCAATCAATTTCACAACGTTGACAATTTGCACTGAAAAGAAAAGAAAGCTATTCGAGAGAAGAATTGAGCTGAACGAACCATGCAGCTGGCATATGAATTTCATCTTTTGTATCGACGCCACCAGCTTCAATCAAAAGAACTTGTTTGGTTTCATCTTCTGATAAACGACTGGCGAGAGCCGAACCAGCGGAGCCAGAGCCAACAATGATGTAATCATATTCAATTTCATCGACTTTCGTTTCTGAATAATCTTCTTCCCATCGTTTTATCACCGATGGAGATTCACTCACAACAGGAGCAGCAGTTTGCTCAGCAACACTCGTTTGTGTCATTGTCGAATAGAATGAAGACAAAAAGAGACAAATACGATATACACCTCGATTTTTATATCTGTCAGATAATAGCATGTGTCGAATAAAGATTTTTTTCTTTCTTTCTGTGTTTAGATAAAAGATGTCACCAATCAGCGATTGTCTTTATTTTTCATGAGAAATACAAATATACGAATACGATTTGTGACGCACGAAGAATGGTTAGTTTTTTGTTTTGATTATCGACATGTGACTCTTTTTTTCTGTATTTATGAATGATATAATAGAGAAAATGTATTTTTGGAGAATAAGATTCATTTGTATTTTGAAAGTACCCAGCAATACAAGTATTCGATAACAGCCATAACCAAACCTACTGAATTCTTGATAAATAACATACCACAGTTGAATTCGAGTAAAATTGTCCCTAGAGCTTTATACAAATGATCTATCTGATCATTTCAATTCACTAGATTCATCTTTTTTTATCGGCATGATTCAGATGGGCTTCTCATAAAAGGATTTTAAAGGAGACGTGAATATGTTAGGATCTGTGTGAAAATGATGTGATAAAACTTGTACTCGAACTCCTTTTTTTCAAAATAAAGATTTTCCGATTAATCAAAGAATTTCATAACCATCAAATCTATGCTTTAAAACAGCTATAGAAAATGCTCAATAACTGGTAAATGATCCAACCTTAGCTTCCTTCTGAAAACAGAGATACCATGGTTTCACAAGCGTTGTGATGCAAGATCTTCGTCGTGTCAAAAAAACATGCAACATTTCACTTCTAGTGCAATTGGATAGGGAGATTTATTCCTCGTTCGAAAGGAACAATGTGTGAGCTACAGAATATTCAAAAAAAGTTAAACATGTTTCGCTATGTTTAAAATAAACTTTTCAAAGAATTGATTTTTTTTTCAAATACGTTTCTATCAACACAAAAAATAATGCATCGTTGTTTCGCCTTGTTACTTGGCCAGTCAAACCATCACCCTTTCAGTTGCTTTTGTGAATGTGTGCATGACAAGACGAGAATGCGAACAGTTATCAATTGGTCGTGAATACCTAAAGAAGATTTCTTGGCCTTCTGCATTGCGCAAAGAAGAGCATGATCGATGCTATCTTGAGGGTGACGGTGAGCCGGGTCATAGAGAAACGCAGTAAATTATTCAACTGATATTCTAAAGCACAGTATGATCTATATGTTCAACTGTTAGAACGGTTCCTATCCATCTGGAAAAGGAAACGAATATAATCTCAATTTTTCCCTAACAATTTTCACTGTTTATAGAAAAAAGTTCACGAGATATCACAATATTTCATGGAATGTTCGATAGATATTGCAATATAATCGTTTCTTTTTATCGGTAAATATATGTCTTTATGAGAGATAGAAATTCTATCAAAAATGAAGAAATCAAGTACTTTTGGGAGAGAAAAGCAGAACTGGCTGCTACCAATGATTGTTGCTGCTCTTGTTTTTGTTGAAGAAGTGAGTCTGGCACAAGCTGACCACCTCCAATAAGTGACATGATTGATTCATTCAACCAATCGTTTGCTGTAGAACTCGAATCATAAGTTATATTGTATCCGTTACTGATGATATTCGTTAAATTTACGACTGCTGACGAAATGTTTTGCAATGCCGTGTTGCCTGTAAGTGTCCATGTCGAAGTGAGATCCAGAGAGACGCTAATAAATAATTGTTCATAGCCTGAGTAAGCATCGCCACTCCAATTCGAATATTGAGTGAGAATCCAACTAATACTACTTCCATTGTAGGCAATAAGACTGCCGTTAAGATTGCATTGGACCACAGTTACGGTCACAATAGCAGGCAGAAGATTTGAATTATCAGCATAACCTGCATAGTAATTGAATTCTTGTGTGATTTGTGAGTAATTGGCTGTAACCAGAATGCCAGATGTAGTGTTGATCACGGTTTTATAGAGATACGCAATAGCTATTATATTTCCAAACCATAAGGCTGGCATGGTGTTACCGAGTGTAGTCAATTTGGAGTTGATAAAACTTACCATAGCTCCCTTTTGTCGAATCTTTATGCTATGTATGACTGTACCGC